CTACATGCGCACCTCTTTCGCGCTGCTGTAGGCGTCTTGAATGATGGAGATGAAGACGTTGAGGCCCGAGTAGACGAATATGCACACGAAGGTGACGAGGAACACGTCACCGATGTTGCCCGCCGCCTGGATGTCGCGCGACGTCTCCAGCAGCACGTCGCCGTTCAGAATCGCAAACCTGCGGAGTAACGCAGAAGAGAAAGTCACGGCCAGCGTTACCTTCTATCAGATCCCTACTGAACGTTCCATCTGAGAATTGTGTTACACCTACTGTCGAGGTGGCGAAGCTGCGGAGAAACGCAAGAGAAAGGAATCAAGGCGTAGCATTACTTTTGGTAAAACTTCCTGCTTATGGCGCTTCATCTGGTGGCTGCTTGTACAGGTGTGACGTTTACCGATCAAGATGGCAGAGCGCGATGAGGAAACGTCCCAAGCGTGACGTGAGATGTTTCGAAAGAAAATGAAGTCCAGATTACAGCATGTAAGGCTAGGGTCTGTGAAAGAGGCGTAAAACCTTTGCAACGTCTCCAGCAGCAGGCTGCTTTGCCCGCGAGGAAGAGAGCTGAGTGGAAATGCTCGAGGTTGAAGACGGGCCAGAGAGTTTCGGTACTTTTGGTACGGAGGGTTGTGGACTGGAAACCTCGCACTTGAGAGCGGAGAATCGCGTACGACTTGATCAATTGTGACGATTCAATACGGGATTAGGGCGTAGCAAAGCTGCGCCATAAGGTCAGTCACGAAGCGAATGCGCTCACTCGACTCCACCCAGATAAGAGAAGATTCAGAATTCGTCAAACCAGCACCTGACAGCTGCCCAAACGCATTGCACTAAGCCCACTTCTCAAAAGCGAGATCCACTCACAGCTTGATGCAGCCAATTTTCGAGGGAGGGAATCTGCACTAGATCGTGAACCAGATGCGGGCAGGTCTGAGACAAGATGACGGCAGAGCAGGCTTCGCAAGAACGGGCTCGTCTAAGACTCTATCCAAACGGAAGAACCAAAATCAAGACCCACTCACAGAGTGATGCAGCTGTTTTTGAGGGAGGAGAACTTGTCGCTGTGCTCGGAGAAGAGCGCCATGCCCAGGCCCGCGAAGCCCATGAGCAGGGGGGTGCTGCCAATCAGGAACACCAGTACAACGGGAACCCCCTGGCGCATCGCCAAAATGAGCGTGTTGTACGGAGAAAGCGGCTCCAGGTGCTCGATGATCTTGAGCCACGCCAGCATACAAGCCATGCCTGCAAAAGGAAGGGTGGGATGATTGGAAGAATGGGTGAAAAGAGAGAGATGGAAAAAGAAACAAGGAAGCAAATTGTGTATCGGTAGGAGCAGATCTCCGAGAATTGGTTGAAATGAAATGAAGTAATGGCGAGTGCAAGAAAAGAGATATGAGGTGGATTGTTAGCTAAAATACGTCGTGAAATGAGTCAACACAGAGCGTCTGCCGTTCGGTTTCGTGGTTCTGAGCCACGCTAGCATGCAGGCCATGCCTGAGCACAGGTGGTTGAAAACGTCTGAAAATTGAGGAAAAGAAGAAGAAGAAAAGTGAGAGTAGCAGCCAGCGTGCAGAAGCCAGCATGTGAAGCTTGTCGGACAGTGCGGCTGCGATTTGGTACTCTTTGGTTTCAAGCTACACTGGCGTGCGAGCCATGCCTACACACGACTCAAGTCCTCTCTCGGTTTCCTTTCCCAAACTTCGTGCAAATCCTGCGCATTGTTGCGGTCATCCGATCGGCACAGTCTGACGAAAGGTTTCCAACCATTTCTACACTAAGTTGGGCTTCTTTATAGTCAATTCGACCGTCAGACTTTGGAACACAAACCCTCCACATTCAAAGTCACGTAGTCTCCAACCAAAAAATGGTAACCGAAAGGAAGGATTCGTGGAGCAGAAAGAAGGTCCAGTGAAGGTGGGGTAACAAGCGGAAAGCAGAAACCGGAACCGGAAAACGGAAGCAGAGTGGAAAATACCTGTGAATATGGCGGTGATGCCCCGGGTCTCGCCCGAGTACGCCATGAACTCCCCCACCTCTAGTATGATAGCGGCCCACGTGGTTACGTTAGCGGACGTGGTTACGACCCGCCATTTGTAGTTACTCCGCCATTGCCGGCTCGACCGCTGCATCAAGGAGGGAACGATGGCGTTAGCAAGGAAGTTCTGTCTACCGCAAAGTCTTGCGTGGGTTGCAAATATTACCAAGCTAATGAGTCTGGTACGCACTAATGTCTCCTTTGGATGCGACGAGATTTGTCAACAGCACGAACGACGGCTGCTGGTGCGATTTTGGGAGGCTCCTGTGTCCGCTCAACGACAAGTTGTCAAGATGGATCTGCATAACCCGCACGAAGCAAGATCCTAACCCCGTAATCCCATACACAAACAAGCTTCGTTGCTTGGCTGCATAAAAGCCTGGACAATCGGCCGACGCAAGGTCTGTCCTTTGTGCAAAGCAGCCTATGTACGGCGCCGAGATACACAGAATGCTTCCACTCTGGTCCTTGTGGGCCTCCTGACCTCCAAAGTATTAGGACTTCGCAATAAAAGGCTATAGAATTTTCTATGTTTTGAATGTTTTGTATTTTCTTAGTGTTTGACGCTACGAAAAAAAGGCATTTAAGTTGGAGCATGCATTTTCTGATACACTCACCAGGTAGCACAGCAGCGACTCCCCTCGGAGATACGCGGACGATTCCGACAACAGCGCCAGGCCCCCAAGGAGCATGTCCATCAGCAGCTCCCAATGCCAGCTCTGGTCTGCATGTAACGAGTTTTTTCTCTTCGTACTCCCGTACTTTTCTAAATAAGGCGATGATTCTCCTCGGCTGAGCTGGATCGTTTCCTCTCTTTGGTGGCGAGATGAGAACCTGCTACATGGTTTCTCGCCTTCTTTGGAAACGTCCCTGAATACGAAATCGCGTAAAAGCCTGTTGGCTGCTGCTAGACTGCCTTTGAACTCTAGGGAACGTTCCTTCAGATTGAGGATCTTTGACCTGATGACAGTGAGCCGAAGTTTGGGCCGGCATGGTGTGGACAAGTTGACCCAATCAACCGGCGACGAGTCTTAAAATCTTATAGAGGTGCATGTGGAGCCGTGATTCCGGTTTACTGTAGCAAGCATGTGAGACAGAGCGACGCACTTCAGCACAAGTCAATCTTTTGCTCATATTCTTGTCGATGCATGCATCAGAACCGGGCCGGGCCCTTTCCCCTTTCCTAGGAAGATATCATTTGATTCTCTAAGATCCATGAAAGAAAGAGAGGCAGACTACCTCCTCGGGCGACGAACCGTTCGAATCAAAGAAAGTCGACCTCTTCGCCCAAACAGACGTCGCTTTTGCGGGCGCACACGTCAGATCAAACCACTCACCCTGGTGCACGTGGCTTCCATCCACGCTCAGGCTCAGCTCGATCCGTCCCCCCCGCCCCACAAAATCGTACAGCGCCGTGATCTCCCAATCGAACGCCTGCACGTGGTCCAGCTCTCGGTGCAGCGTCCGCAGCACTAGCACGATTTCCATCTGAACCAGACTGTTGAAGAACGCGCGCAGCTTGCGCTCGCCGTCGATGCCCAGCAGGTCCAGCCAGCTGTCGCTGCGGGACGTGATGTTGCCGCTCCCTGGAAAACGTCTCCAATATAGTGTGATGAGCAGAACACATGACAAGACGAACTCATTGGGACGGGGTGGGGTTGCTGTGCGGGTTTAGGTTGGGCACGGGAGAGGAGCGGGTTAGTTTCTGGCTTGAGGTTTTTAGTATTAGCATGCATTTGCCGGTGATGCCCAGCAGATCAGCCAGCTGTCGCCGCGGGACGTGATGTGGCCGCTCCCTGCAACAGGGAGAGTGCAGCGCTTCATGGCTTCAATCCGGGTCGTTCTTGTCGACGTCGATTAACGGAAGGATGTCAAAGGAAGTTGCGCCAATTTATAGGAACACCCTCTTCCTTGTCGAAAATTTCCAGAAGAAGCCTTCTGCGTTCACTTGCGGCGCCTGGGGACAACAAATATTTTTCTCTAAAAAGTCGGTCTTTCACCGTTCATAATCACTCAGCAACAAATTTGAGCTTGTCAGTAACAGGCATCGTGGAGAAGTCATGACCCGGGACCTCTCTGACGATTAATCAGGTTATTTGCCCATCTTTGAAGGGCATCAATGACCAATTTCAGAACGTAAAGCAAAAAGAAAAGATGCAGAAAAGAGTTCCACGTTTCAAATCAGGGCGTCTTAGGGTTACAAATCAAGGACTGTCGACAAAATTGAACAGCGACTTGGCAAAATCTTTGGGTTGTAAGCAGAGGGAAGCCAGATTTTGAAGTCGAAGAGACGGACGAGATCGATTGAGATAAATTGCACGCACATGTTTGAAAGTCGAGCCCCTTGAGCTTGCCCGCCTGGCCCTTCTTGTCTGGCAGCGCCCGGCGGGGGTTAGTCGAAAACTGGACGACGTTGATCTGGACGGGGGTGCTCAGTGCGTCGTAGACGTCAAGTCCGGTGCGCGGCAGTTTGAAGTAGGTGTCGATGGTGCGGTTGATGGACGCAACACAGTCGTCGATCTCGTACAAGAGCCCAATCTCTCCATGCCTCTGCAGAAAAGGTTGATTCGACTAATCACAAGAAACTTAAGAACATTGAAGCAAGTATCTCGTATTTGAGTGTCGTTGTACTGGCACAAGCGACGAACGGTCGCTGTGACTGTAAGAATGCCACACACGTTTGCCATCGACTTGTGACTCCTACTTTTCTGATACGGTAAGATGGGTACGAATGGGGAACATACAAAAGGAAGAGGGAAAAGGAGAAGCTAAGATTCCTAGAGGGAGTGAGAATCCGTAGATCTCTTTCTTTCCATCCCGCCGCAATTAGTTTGGGAACCTCATAATGACGGCCTGTTGCTCGACTTGCCTCCTCTTCAAGAATCAAAAGCTGGCACACATAGACAAGTCTTGGATCAATGACCACAGTGAGGTCACTACTAACATGTCTTCCTGTAAGGAGTTCCTGACTACAAGGAAGCATGTGCATGGTGGCAGACAACATTTTAATTTAAAGTTGTTATTGTTAGTCACTGGGCCAGAAAGGACACGGAATACAAAAATGGAGTGTGGCTCCTCAAAGAGAAAGCGGCTGGGGGATTGGAGTTCCATAAGTGCACGATTTGTCCTCCTGGGCGACCTTTAAGGAATCCAAAATTACAACTTGGCCAAGAAGTCCCTGAACCTTCCATGACTCCATACTTTGAGAAAGAGACAAGCTCAGAACAGCAGTCCCATGTAGAGGGACTTTTTGAGGTTGCCGAGATGGCACAACAACACTAGGTTAAAAATTTCTTCAGAACAAGTTCACAGATGCCAACGATTGGTTCGCTGTGTCCCTCCAACATGAACCGATTCAAAAGGAGTCACTTTCCAAAAAATTCTGCACCACTTCCTAGGAATCTACTGCCCTTGTATTTGACACGGAAGTCAAGACTAGCCAGATTACCTCACAGTCGAACATTACATTCGGTCACGCGAGATTACCAGGGAGTCAATGAGTGGACTAACATGAAGATCCCATTAGAGACTTGCCACTGAAACTTTATTACAAAAGCACCCCTACCCAACCACTGCGCACAACTCTCACCTGAATGTTCTGAAGACTTCACTTGGAAAAAGTCTAATCGAAGTATAGTAAAAAGTTTGTGAACATAACACTGCGTATTAGTATGATCATACTTTTATGAGTATGTAATCATCACGCAAGACTCTCACCTGCACTCCTGCCAGGAACATGTCGCTAAAAGTAGCCGTCGACGCCACAATGAACGGCGTGTCTTCCCTGACAACCGCCGCGATCTTGATGGTCAGCAGAATTGCAACCACTAGATGTAACGAAGACAGAAAAGGCTGCGGAAGGCGTGCAGGTGCAGACGCGAGCTTGCGCCAGGGCTTCACGCTGCGCTGCCACCGGTTGGGCTCCATCAACGTGTTTAGATTCATTGTGCATTGCGAGAATGTGCAGTATTACTCCTGGAAGGAGTATCCTTTTATAGCTCCTGTATGCACCATGGAGGTGCTGAATTGGGGAGCTTGCCTTCTTGTGTGGCGTGCTTTGAGTATTCTGCTTCAGGGCCACAGCTCCTTGCTTCTCTCAGAGTCAGTGCTCATCTCTTTCGCTGACGAGACAAACGTTTTCAAGCAGAATTGCATCGGACAAAATCTGTATTTGTATAGGAATACGCTTTACCACGGTTAGTCGGTATCTTATGACTAAGTTTAACAACAACCGATCCATTTTACCCTGACTCTTTGCTCCAAAAGTTGCCCGGGGACGATACGCCGGGTGAATAATACTGGTCATAACCTGCCGTCTTATATCCCATACACCCAAATATACAAACAACATACGTTGCTGAGTCTAGCCTGACTGAAACTTCGGCAGAAATCACTTGGCAGGCCCCCAATTCAGAAAGGATGGCTACCGCCAGGGCGTCTGCGGCTTCCGTTGGTTCCCTCTCTGGCCAAATCACTTCTTCATCCTCTCTCCAACAGAGAGACCTTGATCTTCACGCTGTCCCAGCTGCTTCCATTCAAACTCAAGCCGTCCAGACCCTGCGCTCCAACTCATGGCGGGCTAGGAAACCTGTTTCGACTTCAAACATTCTGCCAGGGACTGTTCTCACGTTGCAATCCTCGGGCCTAGGGCAAAGACGTCAGGGTCGTGCCAGGGTGGCTTGCACCGTTGAAGCTCCCCCGATGACCACTTTTGAAACCGCATTCTCCCCCACCATCGTCAACGTGGAGCTCGGCACACGGCGGTACCCCATCTATATTGCGCCAAAGCTGTTGGACCATCCCCATCTGCTGCGAAAGCACGTCAAGGGCAAGCAGGTGCTAGTGGTCACAAACACAAGGGTGGAGCCGCTCTATTTGGACAGGGTCGTCGCAGGGCTCACCGAGAATGGATCAAATGACGTTAGGGTTGAGACGGTGGTACTGCCTGATGGGGAGGAGTACAAGACGCTCGAGGTGCTGATGCAAGTGTACGACAAGGCAATTGCCACCAGGCAAGACCGGAGGTGCACATTTGTGGCGCTGGGTGGGGGCGTGATCGGGGATATGTGCGGGTATGCGGCGGCGTCGTACCTGAGGGGGGTCAACTTTATCCAGATTCCAACGACGCTGATGGCGCAGGTACATTTGCAGAGCTTTACATTGAGTTGTTTATGTAGATGGCGCTCTTCATGGGGACAAATAGGATCACTCATTTGCGGTGGTGAAAGTGCACTGTGTGTGGAGATTGGTCAGTTGCCCAGTGTTGTTCACTGATGAGGCTCTTTCCCAGTGGGACAACATTGCTACGGGTCCAGTCTCAGGACGCTTTCTCAAGCATCCTTGAAGCCCCGGTTCGTTTGTGTTATGCTTTTCTGCACAATCTAGCCCAACGAAAAGGTCACCTTGTCCCAACACTCTGGACACTCTGCGACTCCTTGTCTTTTGAGTGCAATTGCGGGACAGGACAGGAGGGGAAGGCTGATCCAATGCAATATAGTATCTTCTTTTGGGCGGAAGAGGAGGGGCATGCCGTGTGTCACAAAGGGGTGCTGAATCTGGATAATGCTTCACGTCAAAAGGTGTAGTTGTCAAAGTTGACGCTTTGATGCCCTCTCTTTTTATCCGGCTTTCAGAACGATTCTCCTCTCGGGTTTACGACAGATTTATAACATGCCCTGAGGAAACATTTGATATGGCGTCTTGAGTCAAAGACAGTGCTCATTGACACCAGAAGATACACTGGTTCAACTCTTCGTCGAACCCCTACTTTACCATATGCAGGTTGACTCTTCTGTGGGATGGACCACAGGGGCAAACGACCCCCTGAGGGAGAAAAGCAGTCAGCATGTGCTACAAGCCATCGATTGTGCTCATTTAATGCATCCATGCCGTGGACCTAAGTCTTCACTCTAACCATGCAGGTTGATTCTTCCGTGGGGGGGAAAACGGGGGTGAACCACCCCCTGGGAAAGAACATGATCGGCGCGTTCTACCAGCCGCAGGCGGTGCTCATTGACACAGACACACTGAGCACGCTGCCGGACAAGGAGTTGTACTCGGGCATCGCTGAGGTCATCAAGTATGGGCTGATCCGAGACGCGCCATTCTTTGAGTGGCTGGAAGAAAACATGGAGAAGCTGATGGCCAGGTGAGAAAAGGCTCTTCATGGTAGCCGTAGCTTTTGACTGTAGATTGGGGCCATTCACCAAGAGAAGTTGGAGAAGAGCTCCAACTACATCGAGACATGTTTACTTTGTCGACGAAGCGTTAGCAGGATGCGTTGGAGCATGTTGGTCAGGTGCTCGTTTTGGTGCGGATAAGATTTCTCTTGGAAATTCTGGAGCGATTCACAGCGCTGAAGAGAAGGCACGGCAGACGGCCGATGGCTGGAGAAGTTGACCCCCGACTTTCTAAGATCAAAGCATTGGACGATTAGTTGTGAACCTCTCAAAGTTGCGCTGTTGCAATTTCCGGCAGTCATTACTGAGTTCTCGTTAGTTCTGCGAAGTGTCGATGAGGAACTTCGAGGCAAGTCGACGGGCTCCCCAAACCTCACTGCCTTTCGTCCATTGAAAAGTCGGCGCTCTCCTTTGAAAGTAAAGATTTGTCAAGAGGTCCGCTTTAAAGATTTGTCAAGAGGTCCGCTTGAGGTCCGCATCAACATTTGGGCTGGGGAGTCGATTGTACCTTTGACTTATTGACCGTCTTTTAGGACTTGTACCCGGTTTATAAGGTTAACTGTGCTAGACTGGCGCGAAAGAGTCCAATTTTCACGACCACTTTCTGTCAATAGCGGACCCTTACTTCGATCTGTCGGTTCTTTGATTTCGCCGGGATCGCCGCGCGCTGACTCAAACTACTACGCGCCCCATCCTATATTTAGTAGCAGACGCAATGGCACAAACTCAGCAATACGCTGAGCACGCACTAACTGTGTGAGACTTGATTTCACACAGTTCTTTTGTACTTTCGGAAATTCAACAGTGCGCTTTCACAGCGACTTGATTGCGTAGAGCTCTTCATCATTCTAGAATCAAACGCAACGCCGCAGAGCAGGCATCCGCACGTTGCAAAGTCGGCTTGGGACACTCCCACGTTCCAGATCCGTCATTGAATCTTCCGCCCCTTTCTGGTCACGTGAGTATCTGACTCACTGATCTACGCCGTTAAGTTTTCCATGTCAGGTGACCTAACAGACGTAATGCCCCATATTGTTTTCGACCTTAGCGGGGTCACTTGGGAGTAAAGTACAGAAAAATTTCTACTTCACTGATCAGTTGTCAAACCTTTTGCCCGTTCTTCTGTACAGGGACCCAGAGGCGCTGACCTACGCCATCAAGCGGTCGTGCGAGGACAAGGCTGACGTGGTCGCTGCCGACGAGAAGGAGGCTGGGCTCCGGGCAACTTTGAATCTTGGCCACACGTTCGGACACGTGGGTGCTCCTCAGCCGTCCTCCCTCACCCTCACCTTTTCTATCTCCGCTTGTTCCCCGCGGTTGGCGTATGGAGTTGCTTGTTTCCATATGAAATGAAGGACTGCCAAGTGTCTGTGAAAGTTGAGCGCAGCTTCGCTTGTCAAACTTGTCGCCTATGGCGGTGGGGCCGATTCTCCCGTGCCCTCAAATACACGTGTGAAGTACGCACAAAGGCCAGTCCGTTGTAACGCCAGTGCAACGTACGCAGATTATTGTTTTTAGCTCCCGGTAGGTTCGATCTGTAAACACCTTTCGGCGACTACAAGCAAATCATGTTGGTGAAAGCTCGTATTGCCACTGAAGGGGCTGACAAAGTTTCCGTCCTGTCAAAGTAGCCCTAGACCGAGGCCCAATATTTTGGTGTGGTGGATTTGGCTCTGTCGAGAGTGCCGAAGTATCGCTTGCCCTTGGATTAACGTTTTGACCCGCGGAGTCCGAGGTGCGTCGAAAAACGTCCTGTATCTGACTTGCTGCGAAAGCGCAGTCGCGTTCCTTTCGCTTCAAAGCCCTTCGTCGATATCATAATGGTCCCTGTTTCCAAAGTCGGTAAAAAAGGGTGGTAAGATGTCCCCCAGTTTCTTCGTCGTAAGCCATCAACGTTTGACCCCGTGTTTTTTGCAGGCAATTGAGTCGGGGCTCGGGTACGGGGGTTGGTTCCACGGGGAAGCGGTTGCCGCCGGCATGGTCATGGCCGCTGACTTGTCACACAGGCTCGGCTGGATTGACCAAGCTCTTCTCGAACGGACAGTGAACCTAATAGAACGGGCAAAGCTGCCCATTCGCCCACCTCCGGAAATGACGGTGGAAAAGTTCAAGTCAGGGATGGCTGTCGATAAGAAGGTCGCGGATGGAAAGCTGAGGATGATTCTGCTGAAGGGAGGTCTGGGGCACTGCGTGTTTACGGGCGACTTCGACAAGGCAAAACTTGACGAGACTCTGAGAGCATTCTGCAAACACTGAGCATGCACAACTAAAAATTTAGCGTGCACGAGCCATATGTATCTTCAATTGCTTTTGCTGCATGACCTGTCAAGTGTTGCAAGCCAGTGGGTCTTGCACCAATGATCGCTTTGCTCCTTGCACTTCCGCCCATGTGTATTAGGGGGAGTGCGTTTGCGCACCATGAATGATAGGCTATGACCGGGCCCAGATGTTGTGTGGCGGTATGCAAAAAAACACTGGAGATCATCAGCAAAGGTCATGCTTCATGAAAGCCATCGTTACGCTACGCATTCAGATTGAGAGTGAAGCTGGCGCATCGATCGACGGTGAGTCCGCCTATATATATGATGTCCGCCACCGCGCTCATTGCAAACGTCACTATATCATCATGCATCATCATGGGATCTGTTTCATCGAGTTCTTAGTGCGCTATATATGCAATCAACCATATGTATATGGCCGAGGGCGGCCCCACGATTGGGCAGCTCATACTGTACGTATGCAAGTTAACATCGCGCCAGGGCCCAATCTTTAAAGGCTTATTCACCGGCCACCATTTTCAATCATGTACGCGCCGGGCATGGACAGTGACTTCGATGGCCGGTGACCATCTCATACGTCACTTTGGCGCATCAGGCGCAACATGGTGACCTCGTAAGTACCGTCGTCTTCTACGTCTTCAAGTGTTTTATATCCTACTGTAGTACTGTAGCACTGTAGCGCTCGACGTTCAGTGGTAGATCATACAATGCGTGTGGCTTCACATGTTCACATGTACCCCGGGCCGCCGATCAACCCCGTTCACTGGCCGTGCTCGTCTGGTAATCAAGTGCTCGCCGTCGGGTCGCCGTCGGGCGAGAGACTCTCCAATGATGCACATATGCAAACGTCGAATATGGCCGGATCGTGGCTTCTAGACTTCTAATCCTCGCCGCACCCGTCAGCCGCCCGTCAGCCGGTTGCACTGTCGCCTTCACCAGCGAATTGTTTGGATGACCAATTGTGTAAGAGGAGTCTAATGAGTAGCCTCGAAAAGGGTTGCTCCATAAGTCCGTGCAGCACGCCAAATTGTTGCACAAGAAAGTGACCGTTTTGTGGACCTGAGGCGATGAGGCGGGCTCGAACTTGGATCGGACTCTTCCAAGTCCCTGCGGGCTTGCAACACTGGTAAGCTATAGAACCCTATGGGGCCTTCAGTGCCCGCCCAATTTTTTCGCTCAGCCATGCATTCATGCATTCCGCCGGGAACTAGTAAGAACGATCAGAAACTAAGACCGTTCGATGTATCCACGGGTTGAATCGGACGGGCACTAAGTGAGGAAGTACACTCTAGGCGAAAAATTGCCCTCGGGCTCCGCCCTCGGGCAATATTTTGCTTACCTATTCCCTCACCGGGCTCACCCTCGTGCACTAACTATTACAGTAATAATTACTTATTAAGTTACACACAGCGAGGCTGTTATTGGTTTCGAGCGACTGTAGAGCGGGGGTCGCGGCCCTGCCGTCGCCGACAAAACACGGCGGTGTTTCTGCTAATTCGCCGGGCATACGTCAGCAAAAACACCGCGGTGTTCCGGCCAAACACCACCGCGGTCACCGGGGATATCATTATTCATACCCCGAAAAAAGCCGGGTTCTACGTACGGTGATAAACCTTTTCGGGCCGTCGCACGGGACTCCTTTTGCGTGCGGAAGGTACCCCTCGAAGTCGGGCGGGGAAGAATTGGGCAAAACAACACCTTGACTCGGAGTTCTGAATCTCGGTGTGTGAAGACCCGGCAGCTACAACCGGCTGTCTAGCGCTTCCGGCATCTTTGATGACGCCATGCACTCGGCACATGGCGTTTGAAAGTGTTGACATCCACAAGTCGATCTCACCGGGAGCGCTGCCGCAGCCAGCCTGTAGGTTTATGGTCACACTTGTGTCGCCAGTGTGACGCTGTTTCATGCACAATCGCTTTACCATCAATCCTATCCACAGTCAATGAGCTTCTAATAATTCGACGCTGTTTTCGTACTCTCTCGGTTGGCGTCACATACTGTGACACCACGCCCGTAGTGACCACGTGGGTCTCTCCCGGTGATCCGGTCGCAGGGCCACCGTCCGACATCTGCGACGCGGGGGCTCGTTCGGCATCAAGGACAACAGCAGCCAGAAACGTTGGTCCGTAACGCTCCCACTACAGCGCCCGTGTTCGTTACGTCAAGCTCCAGAAACCCTAGATTTATGGTGGTATGCTCAGATTGAACGTAAATGCTCTGGGGATTCCGTGCAGACTGCGTGGACAGCATTGCGCATGTGCCTTCCTCAGGCAGCCATGGCGATCCAGGCTGTGAGAATGTCGTTGGAGCACTGGTCTTGCAAAATCCCAAGTCCTAGCGTCGCAGTTGCTGCTTTCCTAGACAACTTCACAAGAATCAGCTGTCCTCAGCTCGCTCTGCTTGCAAACTCTCTTCCTCGGGATTGGCACGGATCTTTCAGAGCCAGTTCGTCAGATCGACTTTACCAGCTTGTGCGCCTTGCCCTGCAGCAAAGAGACACCACCACGCCCTTCCCTGATCCTTCCGTGAGCGACTACCAATCGTCACAACCAGCTGTCACAATGGCGGACCCCATGAACGCCACTTTTGCGGAGCCCGCCGCGGAGCCGACATCCTTCGTCGACACGGGAGACAATGCCTGGCAGCTCACGACGGCCACGTTTGTTGGGATGCAAACGATGGTCGGGCTCGTCATGCTCTACGGAGGCGTGGTCAAGAAGAAGTGGGCTGTTAATTCGGCGTTCATGGTTATGTACTCATATGCAGCTGTGATGATTGTTTGGGTGCTGTGCGGATACCGGTTCAGCTTTGGCCAGTACATGCTGCCGTTCTGGGGCAAGCCGGGGACGGCGCTTGGGGCTGGGTTCTTGACGATACAAGCAAACTTGTACGAAGCGGAGCTGGCGCCGAACTATGTAAGTGCTGACCAAACCTATTTTCTTGTGTTGCCTTCAGTGCACCAGGTTGTAGTGCACAATCCCAAGCAGTAATCAAAGTTTTTTAAGTAGAGTACATTGATCGGAAATGACAAGTTGTGCCAGTAGGCCAGCTTGAAATTCTTGATTCCGCAGTGCACACTTTGACTCTTGAGTATGTGAATGTCATCAACAACTTAGGGAGAGAGTGCCATATCGAGAGTAAAAACTTGCATGTAAGAAGGGCATTCTGATAGACTTGTATGAGGCGGAGCTGACTGGTGGATAAGCAGTACAAGTTTGAAAGAGAAGCCAGCTAAAGATTGCATCCAATCAATAGTGAGAACGTTCTTTTCAACGTACCAGTTTTCCTTTCTCGTAGAGTACCCTCAAGTAAAGTAGAGTACCCTCCCTCATAGCAAACGACTTCAAGATCCTGTGAAAGAATGTCAGAGAGCAGCAAAGGCTAGGCAAAAAGCTGCAGCTGTATGGGAGCCCCGAGGTGTTCAAGCACATAATATCTTCATGTTCTGGCTCTCCAGGAGAACTGCATACTGAACATCTGAGTGTTTTGTTCCATGTGACTCCAGTCTCAGATCCAGTTTTGAATCTTTGAACCTGGCCTGGCTTTATGAGCGTGCATGAAATGCATCTTGTGTAAGGACAGCATCTTGTGAAGAGTTGTTGTCAAGAGTACAACTGCATCAGCTCGACAAAAGGCACACCTTCACTCCACTACTAGACTTTGAATGTTCATTGGGTCAGAAGAAGGGTTATTTCACAATATTTTGAGATGCATTGAGCTGTTTTCTTCTCTCCAACTTCCTGGTGCTTCGGGTTCCCCCCTCCTGACATGGTTGGAACAGGTTTACCTGTTTTCAAATCTTACCAGCAGATCTTCTGAGATCTTCTTTTTTCTTTTTCTTTTTTACTCACCTCATTCTCATCTCTTTCCTTGCAGGCCATGTCAACCATCGTGTATTTCCAGTTCGTCTTTGCCGCGATCACGCCCGTCCTCATTGCTGGGAGCCTGCTCGCTAGAATGAACTTCATGGCGTGGGTTGTGTTCGTCCCGCTGTGGCACGTTCTGAGCTACACAATCGGCGCTTTCTCTGTCTGGGGCGGCGGCTTCCTCTTCCAGTGGGGCGTGCTCGACTTTGCGGGGGGTTACGTGATTCATCTGTCATCCGGAACGGCAGGATACGTGGCAGCTTACTGGGTAAGTATGTGTTTTGAATCAAAGTTGAGCAGAAGAATGTAAGCAATCAGGTCAAAAAGGAATGAAGGAGACGAGCGGGAGGGAGCAGCTAGACCGTGAAAGTCGCCTTCTCTCATAGCTCTACTTTCAGAAGTTGGACTAAATAGATTACTGATGTATTGGGCTGATGCAGAAGCACAATGTGAGACTGTCTCTCTAAGAAGCAGCCAGAGCAGTTGCCAAGAACGTATCTAAGTAGAAAAGTCCAACTAGAATGACCTTTCACAATACTTTCGCTTGTTCTCCAGGTGATAGACATTTTCTGCAGTAGGAGCTTGGGTAAGGTGCTGAAACCAGATGGTGGTAGGCTTGTAGCTGTTGCAGTTAAGTCTGCAGATTCAGATGATAGGGTTGAATCCATCTGCTTCTATCACCAGGACTCACTTCTGCTGTCCTTCAGGCTTCAACCCACAGCTGTGGTCTCAGTCTGTTCTCTGTACTTAATGCCAGTGCTTAACCCAGTCAAACCCACCAGCCACAACCACCTGACTTCTACCACCCGCAGCCGGTGCGAGGGAGCCCCAAAAACCAGCCCAAGAAAATGTCTCAAGAAATAAACCCACAGTACCTAACCCACTCTTCAAACTTTGCCAAGCAGCTGTGCGCCCGTTCCTCAAAGAATCAACACGGGCCTTGTCCTTGAACATACCGTCTGCATCCCTCGAGACATTTCAGGCGCCACATCCTGACCATACTCAAAACTACCCCCTCTGGAATTAGGCAAACGAAAGTTGAGGCCTGAACGAAATTTCATTTTGGCTGCAGTTGGGCCCTCGTCTGCTCCGCGACCGCGAGCGCTTCGTCCCCAACAACACCATCTTCGTCCTCGCCGGCGCGGGCATGCTTTGGCTCGGCTGGAACGGCTTCAATGGTGGTGCCCCCTACGCTGCCAACACTGACGCTGCCTTGGCTGTCCTGAACGTGAGGCTCGTGCTGCTGGTTCTTGCCAGCTTTTGACAGATGTCTATCAGAAATTGGCTTCTACCATTTTGATAATTGGTTGCCACTGGGTAATGTGGCCCCTGGTAAGCAAGGCCGGAACCGTAGGAGTTTGAACGAAAGTCTTGCATCAATTTTGTATCTTCTTTTCCCTCAATTGCTCCTTGGCGAATCAGCAATTGATGCAATGCCATTTGGGTAACAGGCGACTGTGTGCTGTACTTCGCCAATTTCGGGAAAGGGCACTGCGACATTGTACAACTGATCAGCCTGCAAAAATCATCCGTTTTTTCGGTTCCAGGTTACAACGTTAGCTAAGAGTTTGTGACCTCCTGGCTCACTCCACCGGGTTCTGGATGCCTGGTTTCCACCCTCGCCTAATCTCCATTTAACAATCGAAACAGTCGGGCTCAGTGTTTGTCCCGAATTGTTCAGAATCAGCCGTGCATCAACGCTCAGGCGATATATATCGTGTCCAGAGACCACCAATTATCGAGATCTGTTTGTGAGACTACTTGGGCTTTGAAACTCGTGTCGTAAAGCCCAGACAGAATTTGACGCCGTAAGGCAGAGACAGAATTTGACGCACAGACAGAATTTGACGCCGTAAGGCAGAGACAGAATTTGACGCACAGACAGAAACTGACGCCGTAAGGCAGAGACAGAATTTGACGCACAGACAGAAACTGACGCCGCGATGTGTCTGCCTGCAGACCAACATCTGCACTGCCACCAGTATGCTGACGTGGACCGTCCTCGACACCATCTTCTTTGGAAAGCCGTCCTGCATTGGCGCCGTCCAGGGAATCATCACGGGGCTCGTCATGATCACCCCCGGTGCAGGTAAAGCTTTCTCCGCGCCCAATGCGTATAAACTCTCGTTTCTGTTCTCGTGTCCAATCATTTTACGAAAGCTTGGCAAAAAAAAGCATGTGGGCTATTCGTAGCGTCCTTCAGAAAATTTCGGCATTAGGGGTCGAGTCAAACCTAGGGTTTCTGCAGTCACTTGCTCACTCAGTTCGCAGCATCAAAAATGGCGTCAGCCGTTTTAAGTCGTTAACCGCAACACTGTGAAGAGGATGCTTTCTGTGTCGATAGGATAGAAACTCCACTTCTATTGCTCTCATTGTTCTGCTCGCACATACGGAGAGAGCTGATTGCCGTTGCCCTCTCTATCGCAACATCACTGCTCCTCACAACGACGTGATGACGTTTTATCAATGAGCAGTTCGACAGACACGGGACATGCAGCGCGCTCCTTTCACCCCATCCCACTGCAGAATACCGAATAGCCCCCCCTGAAATGCCCTAAAATGCAGGTTTCATCCCCGGTTGGGCCGCCATTGTGGAGGGCCTGTTTGCGGGCTCCGTCCCTTGGTTTACTACTTGCTTTTCTACCATTTCCTAGTTGTTCCCTGAATCCGTCCCCATATCCCGACCCCCCTCCACAACTAGAATACCCCCACCAAAAACTAGCCCCCCCAAAATGCAGGTTTCATCCCCAGTTGGGCCGCCATCGTGGATGGCCTGTTCGCCAGCTCCGGCCCCTGGTTCACCACTTGCTTTTTCTCCCTTCACCTAGTTGCTCTTAAAATTCGTCCTGCCGCCCCCGAAAGAATACCTCACTGAATAGCCCCCCCAGTATACCTCACTAAATAGCCCCCCCCCTAAAATGCAGGTTTCATCCCCGGTTGGGCCGCTATCGTGGAGGGCCTGTTCGCCGGCTCCGTCCCCTGGTTCACCATGATGATCCTCGCGCGCAAGTCGTCCCTCCTCAAGAAGATCGACGACACCCTCGGCGTCGTGCACACGCACGCGGTGGCCGGTTTCCTGGGCGGCATCTTCGCGGGCGTGTTCACGATGCGCAAGCTCGCGGCCGAGTTCGGGACGCTGCTCCCGTCCAACGGGCTCATCCAGGGGGGAATCGGACAGGTGGGTGACGTCAGCAATCTCGTCGTGTGATTTATCCAATCTGGTGGATTTACGCGAGCTCGAACTTTCCTGGACGGAACGCCCCAGCCGTTTGAATGTGCAAGTTCACGGCCGTCCAACGGCCTCATCCAGGGGTGATCATATAGTTGCTGGACGTCATGGTAGTCCCCTCCAACGGACCGGATGACGTCGGCACCCCCTTTTGGTACTGGTCGGATGGCCTCCGAAGGGGAGAATAGAGACTGCAGCCATGCATTGGGGAACAGCGAAGTGTGATTCCCGGTCGAAGTAGTTCTGTAGAGCGAACCTACAGAAGCGAAAACAATTTGCGCGGGCGATGAGGACCAAAACTCAGGGAGCTTAGGGATGCCGGAAGTATTCCATGTATCTTTCCAGTGAGTTTTCTCGTGGCTGCAAGTGTCACAAGGATCTTCAATGAGAAAATCGAATTCGACGTTTTAGAGCGCTCTGAGGATTTTGTTGGAGACTATTTAGGCGAGCACCTCAGGGTGCGAGGATCACCATCGCCTCTGTTCCTCTTCTTTATCTATCTCCTTGGACGACTTGCCGGCCCGTCATTTTTCTTTTCCAACTTCTTATCTTTCCCTCGCCCCTGCCCATTCTGACTCATCTTGTTGGATAACCATTCTGCAAGCAACAGTCTCGGCGCAGAATGTATTTTGATTTCTTCCCTCATCCTGAACCCGTTCTCTTCATTCCTCCCCGCAGGTCGGCAAGCAGGTCGTGTCGGCGCTCTTCATCATCGGCTGGAACATCGTGATGACGTCACTCATCATGAACTTCATCAGGCTGATCGGGATCCCCCTCCGGATGGCCGACGAGGTTCTGGAGGTCGGCGACGAGGCGGCGCACGGCGAGGACGCATATGCCCTCTGGGGCGAGGGCGACACGTTCGACGAGTCCGTACACGGATGGTACGGATACGACCGTACGACCCACGGCGAGAAGAAGGTCGGCCCGCCGGCGGCGGCGCCGGCCGCGGAGGCGAAGCGGCTCGAGACCGCGACGGTGTAACGCGTCTAGGTGTTTGTAGTAGTACGCGTTACGAGGCGTGTATGCCTAGTTTTTGCGGGGGCGGTTTTAAGTAGGCGTGTCGAATGGCTCCGCGAGATTGCACGCGAGCGTTTTGCGAAGGGGGCCGGTTAGGGAGTGCGCGAGCGGTGCTTTGAAGCAGAAAGAAGGAAACAACGCTGATCTGGTATTTAAGGTTGACGTTGCCGGTGCTCGCGCTTCGCCTCAACTGGAAGGGAGGTTTTGTAGATAGAAGGTTTTGGCTTTAGACACTCGCACCAAACTTGGAAAAGGCAGGCCTCAAGCAGAGCTTTCGCGCAAGCGAACAGTATGCCGTGTTCTCGCCATGTTGTTAGGCTCAAGAAATGACGCAGCTGCGTTCGGAGCAATGCATTGGCAGACAGTACTTTTGTAGGGACTCAAAACGGCTCGTACTAGTATATAGCGTTATAGCGGCTGGCACTCGAAAGCGTCTGGAATTGTACAGAAGGACAGTCAGTTCGCATTCGAATTATTTACGTCTTGTCTGGGCACCTTCCATGTCATATACAGATTTTGTTTACGCTGCCTTGTCCCATGTTATTGGATGTGCGCATGCCTTAAGTTGTTAAGCAAACGTCGTGCGACCTTATTTTGCGGGCCATGTTCTTCTCCGAGGCTGAGAACCTAGTTACGCTTTGCAACATTGGCCGCCGCTGGTCTGCTATTCTTCCTGATTAATATTCGCCTGGTGCTCACCAGCCTAGTATTAATACTGATTAAAGCTTAGTACTGATACTGATTATAAAGCTGACGCCTAGACGCATGCTTGTATAGATAATGTAGGCCTGCAAATGTGAGCATGTGACTACTTGGAGCAGCGCGGGCGCGGCTCACTAATACTCGTGGATCACGACAATGAGGGGCGCGTTTTGTAACTTGCCTGCATATATCCCGAAGCTTATACTACTAGGTAATTGGTCGACTCGGATCTTTGCATCACTCTATCGCTGCAGCGCAACTTGAACCTAATCGCAGTGGTCGAAGCTGCTCATGAAAATACTCTGCAGATGACACAGAACACGTTGAGTAGTCCGGACACAATGACCCAATGTTGATTCAGACCTATGGAGCTCTTCGGAGCCGGACAAATCAGCACTAAAAGCTTACTTAATATGATCTATGCGAAGCCGGTCCTTTACAGATTTTGCATCTTGCTGACAACTTCTCCGAATAGCAAGGAGTTGCTACAGCGCCAACGATTAAAACATTGATCGGAGGCTGCACGTGGCTGCCGCAATCCTCGGCAAAGTTGCATCAGTACAGGCTAAGAAATACAACAAACACAGTTACATCTGCGAGTTGAATGCAGTCCGAGGCTAGCCAAGAAACTACTGTCAGTGTATGCTTGCAAGCTTATCATTTGTTGATCTCAAAATCAAAGATTCATCTAATCTGCTAGTGCTGAGTATTGTGTGACTGCGAGACGTTCAAATCATTCTGGACTTGACGTGTCCTTCGATCGTCATCGTATTCCGGCCTTGTACTTACCGTATTCCCAATCAGCCACTGACTCCTCGCTTCGATGTACCACTCGCTCTTTTTTGCTAGCTGAGTCAACGCACTTTTGGCAGGACCCTTGAAAGCTCCAATGCACATGCCCGTTCACCACAGAGGTTCTACTTCATGTTTCTGAACGCAACTGGACAAAAGTCTGAAACAAAAAGCCTAAAGTTTTGCTTAGAGAATTCGGCCAAACCAGGCTGATCTCTTTGACACCACTACTTGCACTGCTTAGTTTCTAGCTTTGTAACGTTCTTGAAACACTTTTTGGCTTTTCAGGGTCGCACCATCTCATTTGCAGCACCAACCAAGCAAAGAAAGTTGCAGTGATGACACCTGTTCTAAATCAATCGTTTGGGCTTGTCGAGCTTTTTACCATTGGACAAAACTTCCAAATTCACTCTTGATTCGAATGCCTTCCCCTCCGGCCCAAACCCCCTAGCTTTGCTTTGACGTCTTGAACGGTCTCCCCCGGCCTACTTCAAAAACAGACCCCTCTGCTGAGTGTAACGACTCCCAAATCGCTGCTGCTATCTTAGTTAGTCTCGCGGCCATCGACTCGCATTGGCCCATAGTAAAAGCTGGACTCCTGACCTGCACTTTGAAAGACTGTCTTCACTCCTTTTCATTTTGCTCCAGATGAAATCTCTGCTGCTTGATCTCTAGCCTCCTTTTACCCTCCGCGCACTTTCGATTCACAGGCCCTTAAACGCTTCTTGGACAGATTTCCAACACCCTAGTTCGCAAGCTTCATGCAACCTGCTTTTTAGTCAAAGTGGCTCTCGTAATATCTGTAGTCAGCTACTAGGGCTTCCTCCTCCCCTCCGCCAGTCTCTTCCACCAATCCCCCCAGAAAGGGATTGGTCCGCACCGAGCGGATTCTCGGCGACCTGCACCCTTGACCCGTCAGGCGTTTGGTCGCCCCGCAACTTCCGCGGCGAGAAGAGGAGGCGCACGAGCCGCTCGGCCTCCCTGTGGATCTTCTCTTCGAATGTGCGCGCGCATATGAGCCGGTGGACGAACACGTGGCCCTTCTGCCCGGGGCGGACCGACCGACCCACAAGCTGGGAATGCACGGAGGAGGAGAAGTTGGGCGGTTGGCGAGACAAAACAGTTTGGGCACTGATGATTTCGTTACCTATACTAGCCAGCCTCCACAATGAGCCCAGTGGGTTTCGTTGATCATACCCGTTCAATGAGGAAGCCCTGCTTTTGTGAGGCTTGTCAGAACCCGTGGAAGGAGAACGTGGACTCCAGTTTCCTTCCGGGACCCCCAGACCGCTTGGTACCCCTGTGCGCGAGCAGCCTGGGGACACATGCCTCTTCACAGTGCAAGGCTTGAGTTACTGGTAACGTAACCCGTAACCCCGTGCAATACTTGGTGCGCATGGCCCGGTCCATTCGATACACCGAGGGCTCGTATATTGTGCAAGCAGACTCCATATTGAGACCCCGGTTACAGATTCGAGTGACCGGTGACCAATCAAGTAACCGATTCTCTAACTTGCGCGCGCACGGAGTGCCAAGCGGTGTGGGGTCCCGAAAGGAAAACTGGAGTCCACGTTCTCCTTCCCCGGGTTCTGTCAGGCTATTATGGGCCCTCTGCTTACGCATTCAAAACGGCTCAAGGCGGTTACTGAAGAGCTCAGACTGATTTCAAACTATTTGAACCAACGTGTTTTTGTTCGAGACCACGATGACAAGAGACATGCACAGACAAGACTTTGCTCGGGATCAGCCTAGAAAAGTAGCTAATTGCACACTTTTTTGTTAGAAGTTCAATCAAATAATGATATGGTTTGCCTTTCTTCCGGTCACTTCGAGCTGTCTACACTTTGACCTGGCAATCATAAAGCCGGATTGTCTCCCTTGATTATATCCCAATCAATAAGAACGTCTTTATAGAAGCTTGTAAAGCTTAGGGTGCGCGTCGTCGACCCAAATCCTACTTGGCCTCCAGTGTTGCCTTTGTAGTACCGCCACGTAGGAGGTACGGTACTTTTTCTGGCCAAAGTGCTAGTGGTATGTACGTTTCTGACCACGTGGATCCATTGGACCATTGAATTGGCTCAAAGCTCAGAATCTAGCAAGCTTTTTGCAGCTTTTCGGTCGATATTGCGAACCCTTACCTGGCGATCTTGCATGGGGTTCCACGAAGGCTGTGACAGCACCACGTGCGTCCCCCCCGAAAGATCGATCCCCTCGCTGCACGTGCCTTTGGTCGCCAGCAGCACGACAGCCCGGCTCTGGGGGTCGTTAAACCGGGCCCGTCTGGTGACGTCAGCAGATCAGAGAGACGAGGAGAAAATGACGTCAGAGAGATAGAAAAGAAGGAAACGCAGGTCGGCCAAGCATCGTCAAGCAGTCTAGTCGCAAAAGCAACAGGCACTTCAAAGGAGCGGGTATGGCAACGTACTAATGACTCGCTGGTTTTTCGTCCGGAAAAGGACTGCCGGCGCTGTGGAACTGAAGGAACTCGAACAAGAAATCAAAGACCTGGGAGTCAAGATGCGCGCAAATCATGAATATATTCGCAAGCAGCTTGAAGAGGTTAGCGCAGAGCTGAATGAAATGGCCAGGGAAATGGACCTGCTGGGAAAATGGGACAACTAAACTGAGGCCCGGGTATGGGCCAACATCGACGTGCAAAATCGATACGGCAGTGACCCTGCAGTGACCAGCAAGTGTGTTGTTTACCTACCATACGACGAAGGGAGGTGCGCCCGAGGTGCGGAGGTCAGGAGCTGTGTTCGTGAGAAGGGGGAAAACCCGGAGAAAACCCCTCTGGTGAGTGTCTAGAATAGGTTTAGAAAAGTTTTAGAAAAGACTCAACCTGCACTAATAGTCTTTAGAAAAGGTTAGAAAGGTTGATTTCTGAAGACTTTGACGAATAAAGACTTCTGAAGACTAAAGACTGAAGGCTTTCTTAAAGCTGCTTGCTGAAGATTTCAAACCTGCTACTCAACCTCAGATAATTGTGAACTGAACCAAACGTCTTGCCGATCAAAAACACACGGAGTCTCTAACAACTCGTTGCAGACCGCCTCCCGGTTGCTCGACGTAAATGCCCCCAGTATCAAATGCTCGCTGGCTTGTATTACACTGACTGAAAGATAACTGATTCAGCGTCCATTTTACTAGTCGCAAACTTATTCCAGATGAATACACATCTATTGAACCATGCTTCGATCCATCGAACGTACCAACTGCGATATTGGCACTTGGCGATCTTGCGATCTTCAACCGACAATGTAAATGAACAGCAAGGGGCCCCGTAAGATGCGAACCAGAATATTTAGCTTGAAAGCCGAGCATCATTTCCGCTACACCTTCGCCGCCAATCGACAAAACGACCGTTGATTCATACAGCCATTGGTGCAAACATGCATGCATACAACTGGAATGCTCTCGTCGAAGTACTAAAAGCCCTACATGATCAGCATCTTGCAACTCTCTTGTACGTTGCCACAAAGTCGGACGATCGGACGACACGATCTCCCTTTGTTCAGCACACCTTCACTTGCAGCAAATGCGGTTCAATGAGTCTCATAAGCAGCTTTTCGAACCCGGATATTTCTCGAGCTTCCCTTACATTCTTATATGCATCCGAGTTGTATTCGGCGAGTCATATAAGTTGGGTATAAGATAAACTGACTCTATACCCAGTGAGACCAGTGATTTACGCCATGACTCTGATGAGGTAGCTTGTAGTCATGTAGCTAAACAAGCTGGCATGCTAGACATGCTCCTAAGATTGTTACTATAGTAACTTGTGCTCTGTTACTGGAATAAAAACATACCCGAACGTACCCGAAATCCGCAATTGTTTGTCAAAACCCCATATGGGCCCGGCCCAGGCGCCTATAAGCGTGTATAGAAGAAGTGACCATGCATAATGGGGAATCGACTATAGCTATAGATTGGTTTAAGCTTAGGGTCTGATCCTCCATGAACCGTCATCCTTAACGCCGTATATGATTTTGAGAGAAAGTATGCAATCGGGTATATATACATGATGCAGGTTGAAAGGCCAGTTAACCTTTGGCACACACATTACATTGAACGATTAAAACCTGATCAATGATCGTTACGTGCCCGCGCGCGATCGCCGGCCGGTCCGGTCGCCCATTTCTGCATCTGCATCTTCGCATCCCGACTTGCAACGTATGCAGGTATTTGATCGAGAACCATGCCAGTCGCCAGTCAAGCCGATAATACACACCATGTGGAATATCAAGAGACATCGCACCACGAAGCAATGTTGCATACATTGATGTAAAACGTCGTACAAACGGTATAAGTCGACTCGAGTGTCTCAACACTTGCGCCTGACAAAAAAGCGAGGTCGCTGTCGTAAATCAGCCGTCGAACAAGCCCTAGGCGTCCTTTCGGACGTCCTCAACTTCCAAAAGCTCGATGTTCAGGTCAAAGGTTGCGCCGGGCTGCAGAGAGGGAAGCAAAGGGCCGGTTGGAGGCAAAACGCGTGCAGGGCGACACGAGCGTAGTATCCTCGCCAATCTTTCAACAATCACTTTGCGCTTCAAAGACCTTATTTTGAGTGGCCTAATGGCGCACGCGTTTAACGTGGGAAAACCCATCCTCTATACCTTGGCACCTTCCTCGATTTCTTCCTGAGGACCTTTGTAAAAAACGCCGATGCCAGATGATCTTAACTCTGCAGCGCACGACGTGCACATCCTTCTTACAAGTCACGCTGCCAAGATACTCATCATATTGCCGTCCACAAACCTGATCGTCAGAATCCTGACGCCGTCGATTTTACGTGCCCGCGTTTGTCGAAAAGTGGGTTGAGGTCGAATCAAGCTCAGCTTAAGATATCAGCCCTTCCTGGAGCCAAACTTGCAAGCGCTAATGAAGTAGATGCCTCGCTTCAGATCTTTCACAGCCCGCTAAAGCGTTCTGTATGAGATCGTTCATTACTGCGGTGGAAGACTCTGTTGTTCCATAACACCATGGCCAAACTACCGTATACCACACGACTGGACAACTACAGTATCTGGTCTCTTTCAGAGGAGAAACCATATCAAGGGCAAAAGAGGCAGCTTACCGGAATTTCTCCTACTCCTTTTTGACCGTAGCCGAGCTCTGGCGGAACGATGACCGTCCTCTGTCACAGCGGAAGGAATAAAGTCGACGTTAGATGAGCGGAGCATGCACAGGGTCGGGACGAGTTCAAAGACGCGGGCTACTGCACCGGTTTGTAACAGCATGACTGATTGCGTCAGCGGTACTTGACGGCTCTGTGACTCGACTTGGATAAGCCCAATTAGGGAAAGTTTGATTGCACCAGACGGGAAAAGGGTGACCCCTTTTAAAGCAGACGAGTGGCCTGACACAGTGTGAAAGGGGGAGGCACACTGACTCACACAGCCCGGCAGATGCAAGAACGCTCAGAGATCTGTATCGACCAACAACAGAACGGAAGGCGCGAGAAAATGGACTCCCAAGCCGATGTTGCAAATGGCTTTCAGCTATAAATCTTCAGGATCGACGGTCTAGGTTGATCAGATCTGCTAAATGCGACCGTCGATCGAAGGGGTTAAAGCCGAAGTGGGTACCGAGGAGATCCGCCGGAAGTCTCGTCTCTCCTGCCATTCGTTCTGACATCTTTCTACCCCTTGATAATTGCAGCATCGTTTCTAGCATCGAACCTAGTCGTCGGTCAAAGAACGCTCCTAGAAGCGAAACAGAAGCCCTGCTGCACGCTGATTCCTGCAAGTCTCGAGATGATACAGCGTTCAAGTTACCGCTAAAGATACAGTTGTTTTGGATCCGCACCTTGCCGCCGACTCGCATGCCCTCAACGATTGAATACAGTGCGGGCGGGGGCTTGGGGGCTGCTTGAGCCGAGAAGAGCCCGTTGGCGTTGTCTACAAAGTCGCGCTTCCTCTCGGAGCCGGGCTTGGACCCCACCACTAGTTCGTAGGGCTGGACAACGAGGACGGGAGAATTTCGGATCTCGGAGAATGGGAAATTCGGAATCGGCGGAAGCTAAGGCGGAATATCGAAGGCTACAAAGGCACGCTTGGTTAAAGGGGGGAAGGCTACAGTTGGTTGCTTGTCAGAGAGACAACAGAGGCATTTCAAGAGTGGCCCGAAAGATTCTGTATCCATGACGATGGATCTGGGCCTTCGAGGACATCTCCTGAGAATGGCACGGCAGCAGATGGTTTGCTTGATGACAGTGACAGTAACGAACTTTCAATCAGCTTGAAATATTCCCCAGTCTCAGCAGGGGTCCAGAAGCCGTCAGCGGGTACAAATAAGTCCTCCCGCGCCACCTTAGAAAAGGCAAGGGATCGCTGACCTGAGCAATAACCCGGTTTCCTCCCAGAAGTTTTGATGACCGGCTGGAAACCACTGTCAGGGTCTTATATACACAATCAAAATGAACCTGCAAGCGGACACAATCAATCAAGCGGTGTAGCCGAAGAGTACCTCCTAAAGATGCAGTTCCCACTTGTTGAAAGCTACAGGACTTGCAAATGCCTTACCATCTGCTTTTGACAACAAGCGAAGTGAAGGAGCTGTCTTTCCTAGGTCTTTTAAGGTAAGAGCTCTCTAAAGGAGGCGGACAAGCAGGATACAATTAAGCTTAGATAAATGTTCTCCCAACTTTTGCTACGTTCCTTTCAATCTGGTTAAACAAGAATCGAAAGAGCCTTTTCTCAAGAGATGTGATGATCAGGTCGAGAGACGAGAAAGTCTCTTCATAAATACTCGACTCGGAACCAGAATGAAACCAGCTCACGGAATATAGCACCATACCAAAACTTCAATAGACATGCCTTGAATTGCCTGAAAACGTCAGGATCTGAGACCCTGACATCAAGGAGCAGAGGACTTACTACCACCTTCTTGCCTTTCACCGCCTCTGGCCCTCGTCCTTGATTGAAGTCGTAGTACTTCAGACCTTCCTCTGGAAGATGCACAGAACAAGATATGATACTCATACCTGACCTTCTGAGATTTACCCCTAAGAGTCTGTCAAAGTCAGTGACTGGTGAAAAGAAATCACCTCTCAGACTTTAAGGATAGACGAGCTCCTGAAGGGTACAGAAGCCACGAAAATGCACAGGAAAGGAAAGCTATCCAGATTTGACATTGATTTGCCTTGGAGTCTGTCAAGGTGCAAAGTCATAGACGCGTGGAATAGGGACAATTGAGCTGTCCACATCCAGGTAAACCTCACAACTCCACAACGAAGACTCTAGCATTGCAAGGTCTTGTTACTGCATCTCGCCACCAGGCAGTCTTTAAATAGATTCAGCCCCATCCTCTCAAACAAGCTTTGAGATGAAATACTGGAGCTGACACTAGGTGATTCTGGGCCCTCCATATCAAGGTTATTCAGCCATGAAACTTACCGCTTGTGCTGTACTCTGCATCATCTACTTTCTGCTGTCTTCTCCTGGAGAGCAAAAGAGGAGGTGAGCAACGCTCTATGTGAGCTAGGATTGAGCACAGATGTAGGAGTATCTATACACAACACCAGAGGCAGAGACAAGAAGCAAGTTACGGCTCCCTCCCTGAAGATCATTTGAAGTGGCATCACCTCACAGAGCGAATTGCTGGTTTGTGTTTGCAGCTCTGTCTGCCTAATCGCCATTTGATTAATTGTGGTCCACCAAATGCTACGTTGCAAAAGCTGATCCGGCGTGCCCTTCTCCTGCTGCGAAAGATGTACTCACTCTCTTGCTTGCCCCGGAGAAACGTTCAGCCATGAGGCCACAATTGCCAGCGAAGCGAGCGCCCTTCTGCTGAGTGTGATAGAAGGTCCGCTGCTTATTCCTTCTTTGGAAACTTCGTTTGGCTTGGCACAGGCATTGATAGGACCACATTGCCATAGCCCTGATAATCTACAAGACTCTCTGCTAATGCCTGCATTTCTTTTACAGCCACCTGGGAAGGCCACATTTTGGGGCTGGCGGCGCTTCCAAAGCGTCCGCTCGAGCAGGAGCGACGAGCTTCCACATCCAAGTGCACAGCAAGCTTGCGCGGCTGCCATTTCAGCTTGATGGCTAGGTGGTGCAGAGTGTCCCTGAGAGAGAGGAACGTGAGAAGCGGCAGGGGATCATTAGACGAACAGACAGCACCTGTTGCTGTCAGTTGGATTTTGTTCCTATTTTGATGTGCTCTTCCAGCTAAAAGTGGTCGCCCTCATGGCCGGCCTCACCTTCCCGTTTCTTTCTGAATCACCATTGTCGCTACCGGCATTCGGGCAGGACAGGCCGGCACGAAGCGACAACGGTTGCACTTTCCCGGCTCTTGTGCACTTTTTCCGGCGCCTCTTGATCAGCTCAAAAACTCTTCGCACTTCTTGCTGAACGCCTAGCTTGATGAACTTGAAGAGAGGACACGTCCTCTGTTGCCATTGGAGGACAGGACTTCAGGGCGCTTTGTCCTGCTTGGTCAGTGGTTTTGACATCTGTTCCTAGCTTGTCTGAGCCTGCTTGGTTAAGCCGCATTAGTTGCACACCGTGCGCCTTACCATGGAGGCTGTTCAAGGACATTGTTCGTCAGCCTGCATGCAATCCGTGCGCTTTGGCAACAGGCCTTCCTTTTCCTCGTCAATCCACTTCAACGCTTTCTTCAAAGCCTCGCAAAAGACGCGCTTCTCTTCTCAGAAAGCTTTGCTGTTCCAGGCGGGTAGATTGCTGGAAACGCCGCAGAAAAGAAGGGATCAGACGTTTTATTCGTCATTAGAAAGCAGAGAATGTGCCACAAATGTGTTGTTGAGCAATGCTGCGGGCAAACCTGCTTCATTTGGAGCTCCTGCTTCTTGCGCAACAAGGCGCCGCCTTCGAACACTCAGAGTTGGACCTGACACACTGACCCGCTTCGGCGAGTCTGAGGAGACCGAAGACTCGGGATCAGAGGACAATGAAGGTGTGGAGGAATGGTGGCAAGACTCCGGCGCTAGCGGGAGAGCGCCAGATGTCAATCCCCAGTTCGCCAGAGCGGTGGCGCCAGCCGATGATGAGTTTACAGACTTGGCGGAACGCCCTGCTGCCGAATCCCGCTGGGATAGAGAAGCTGATGACGAGTTGTCGGAAGGTTACTCTTCAGACGAGGAAGATTTTGACAGTGGTGAACCGCCTAGTGCAGCACTGACTGTATTGGGGGAAGGCCCGCTGGGGGAGAGCTCGGATCAGGAGGGGTTAAGGGAGGGGTTAGGGGAGGGTTTAGAGGAGGAGTGGCAGGAGAACCGGATGGTGGACAGGGTTTGGGAGTTGATTGAGAGGGTGCAAGCGGGAGACGAGGAGACGGTGAAGCTAGCGGACATTAAGGCGATCTTTGGCTTTCCAATCGACAAGTTTCAGGTGAGCGGTTAGCTGGGGATGCTTTGCAGTGGTGCAACGTGGACTAGTGAATAACAGAAAGTGACTCTTGATCTTTGCAATAGCTTGCACATCAGTTTGAGCAGAACGTCCGTTTCATCTTAGGTCCCCTTCTATCTCCGGCTCCCTTCGCTTGAGCAGAGGCTGCCAGATACAAGCAGTTTTGAACGGTCTCTTTGTGGAATGCAGATTAACTCGATGCTTTTCCAATTCAGTTGACTGTACCTTCCTGAAGACTTTCTACCCAAGCCTTTTCTTGAATCCAAGCCTTTAATGAAGCAAACCTTCAACGAAGCGGCTTGGTCGCAGCCTGTACTATTGCTGGTAGTGATCAAACAGTCAGCACCAATCGACCAACATAACAAGAGCAGTCTGAGACAGTTGCACTTAGTGAAACTACTTTATCAGCTCTCCCAAAACAGAGACCTGCAGGCGTGCTCTGGTGGTAGAAATTACCCCTACGAAAACTAGCAAATCAGTTTAAAATCTTTTCTTCCCAATCTAAACCATCTCCAATCCGCTTTCCAGAGGCTCGCCATCCAAGCATTCCTCGAAGGCCGCTCCGTCGTCTGCTGCGCCCCCACGGGGAGCGGCAAAACGCTGATTGCGGAAGCGGCCGCCGCGGCGGTCCTCGCACGTGGCAAACGGATCTTGTACACAACGCCCCTTAAGGCGCTGTCCAATCAGAAGCTCCGAGACTTCCGAGACAAGTTCGGAGAGGAAAACGTCGGTCTAGTCACTGGGGACGCGTCTGTGAATCGAGAGGCGCCGATCCTGGTGATGACGACCGAGATCCTGCGGAACATGCTGTACTCGAGCGTGGGGGCGCCGGAAGGGTTCTCCAATAAGTGAGGGCATGCCTTAGATATTGAGACAACTGGCGCCAGTGTGGCCCGAGTGGCAGTGCGCAAATACTTCTAACAAACTTGCGTGGTGGACAGGCAGATCCCATTTGGGTGTTTGCTAGTATATGGCATTAATTGTTTGATTGCGTAGGGGTCAGAATCAGTCCTTGTTCATCTCGTTTCTGCAATCGACCGGTCAGAGGACAACAGTTGAGGTCGAAGGCCATGGACGCAGACAGGACCCTTCGAAGATCTTGACCCCTTTGGTTCAGTAATGCATTTACAGGACGTAGCAGGTTTCCGTTTGTCAAGCATTGTAAGGCCTGTTTCTCATCTGGATTTAAACTACTGGTCTAAACGGGCAATTGAGAGACCATTACTGAGATCCGTGGAGGGTAGCATTTCGAACATCCGAGGACTATCCCCGAGCAAGCGTAGTATGCTCGGTCTTCCTTTGAAAAAACCCTCAAGAGAGACTCGGGCAGAGATACAAGTCAATGCTTAAGTTGACGGAGGGTAACTTCTTGTGACCTTTCATAACCATCTCTTCGATCCAGGCTGACAAATGTGGAGGCGGTCATTTTGGACGAGGTGCACTATTTGAGCGACATCTCGCGCGGCACCGTGTGGGAGGAGACCATCATCTACTGCCCCCCGGAGGTCCGCCTCGTGTGCCTTTCTGCGACGGTGGCCAACGCAGAAGAGCTCGCAGACTGGATCGCGCAGGTGAGGGGCTTCAGCTGGATTTGTGTACCGTACTCCAAGGGAATGGTTTTGAATAGATAATCAAGCAGTTACAGTCGGAGAGTCAGAATCCTCTGTTCGAACAGTGGATATTCGGAAAGGTTGATTTCGTGCGGAATGGTCCTCGGAAGCCCCAAAACGGCCAGAATCAGCCTAACAACCCCTTTTTAGATGAGAAGACAGGGCATCTGGATTGTTGTAGGAATCAACACTATCGAATCCGCTTTCTTGGTCGGATTGTCGAGATTTGTTCAAAACTAAACTCGTTTGGAATCATCACGTTGGACTACGGATTCGTAGAAGCAAGGCGTCTGTGACTCGACCAGAGGAGAAAGAGCACCTTAAGTTCCTTGCTTAGATCCCCGTCCTACTCATTTCTGACGGCAGATATCCAACGTCAGCTTGTCGACTAGGCGTCATGCAGTGCTTGCGCCACTACCGAAGGCCGATTTATCCGGAGCCTCTCTTGCTGATCGCACAAGCCCATTGCCTTGCTGAATGTTGCTCCCGACCCATCATCTGTTAACACCTCAGATTGGCTGAATCTATTCGCACCCTTCCTCGCCCCTCCTTAGGTCCACGGCCCCACCGAACTGGTCACCTCGACCCGCCGCCCAGTGCCGCTGACGTGGCACTTCTCCACTCGCAACCGGCTCGCCCCCCTGCTCAACGAAACCGGGACCGCCATCAACCCGCGGTTGGTACCGTCCCGAAACGGGCGCCTCGGGGAGGGGGGCTGGGACGAAGACTCGGAGTTTCCGGAACCGAGGGGGTATAGAAAAGCGCTGAGGGGGGGGAATGGCCAAGTAAGCTTCCGGGGAAAGGGGGGCCGATTTCGGGGCCGACAAATGGAGGAAGAGGTGAGACCTTGGGTGGTTTTCTGAGTGTGGGAATTTCGTGCGTTTGGGTCTGCAGGAAGCACGTAGAGTGCGGTCGTCGTCCTGTCTGGTATGAAGGGCATCGTTTAGCCCTATATTTGCTCAAAGGATAATGGGATCTGGCGCCGTGATGCGGCTGACCGAAGGTTCGACAAAGAGGGGCAGAGCCTGTCAAGCTCTTTGTCAAGGCATGTCGACTTCGACTAGGTGTGCATCAGCCCAATCGTTCAGCCGAGCCCTTCCCCCAAGAGGACGGCTGGAAGGCGCCTGTTCTTGTCAGTTTTCTCACCTCTCTTCTTCACAGGGAAGTATCTGCAGCGGCGCCCGATCCAATGCTTAGACGCGCTCGAAGACCATGAGACTCATTGAGCAACTAAAGAAAGAACCATTCCAGGAAAAAGAGGAAAGAGGCCCCGATAATCGGCAATCCAGGATCAGATGGAGCATGGGATGATCCGAACCGTCGAACTGTTCCATCTCCTTCAGGATGAGAAGGACCTTCGGCCGCGTCAGATTCCAATACTCCGGGAGACGCCAAGGAAACAGTCGACTCGATATTAAGCACATAAAGTGACAGCCACAGGAAGCTTAAGTAGCAGCCACCCAGAACGAGTCACGTCCCAGATCCATCAATCAGAATCGAACCAACTTCTAATCTCCCCAGGATGAGAAGGACCTGCGGCGGCGCCAGATTCCGATGCTCCGGGACACGCTCGCGCAGCTCTACGAGCGCGACATGCTGCCGGCCATTTGGTTCATCTTCTCTCGCAAGGGGTGCGACCAAGCCGTCGCAAAGCTCAAGGAAGCGGCGCTTCTGACCCCCCCGGAAGAGGAACAAGTTCGGACGGCGGTGGACGAGTTCCGGGCCAAGTATCCGGACGCCGTTCGGGAGCACGCGGTGGGGCCGCTCTACCGGGGGCTCGCTGCGCACCATGCAGGTACAGGAATTTTTCGTGCATGCGCCCAATCGCGGTTGCGTTTTCGCTAAGTAGTTTTGCAGAGTTGCCTTCCTCTTCGGCAGGCGTGAAAGTATTACTACATTCCTGTGCCAAAGCGGTCTCATCGGCTGGCGATGTCGTCATGATAAGGCTACGATTGTGGCAGCCGCAACTTGCTGCAACTTCGCAAACCCTTTGACCCTTGACTCTCAATGCTACATTTGCCTGCGTAGGCTGTTGTAGAGTAGGTTCAGCGTCAATGTTGAAACCGGCTTCAGCGTCAAAGTTGACCCCGCGTTTCGCTTGCAGCGTCGGAGTGCATTTCATCCGCATACTAGCACATCATAAGCCTTCGAACCTATACAATTTGCCCTGGCACGCTGTCTCCCACTGTGGAAGAGCTTCGAGGAGAGTCTTTTCGACCGCAATCTCATTGACCTTGATCCTTGCCACCGTCACTTCGTCAATTCTTCAGTGCGTGGTACTGGCAACATTGTCTGCCCCTCTGATCCGCTTTATCTCCTCGGCAGGTTGCCTTCCTTTGTGGAAGAGCTTCGTAGAGGAATTCTTCCAGCGTGGCCTCGTTAAGTTGGTTCTGCCGACGATTCGTCAATTCTTCAGGGCTTAAAAGTGGAGCTTTCGTCTGACCCTCATCTGCGCCCCCTTTGCAGGCTGTCTCCCTCTTTGGAAAGATTTTGTGGAAGAGCTCTCCCAGTGCGGCCTGATGTGGGTGGTCTTTGCCACTGTCAAGATTGTCAACGTTTCTGAGCGTAAAACCTGCAGGGTTCACTAATCCTTGGATCCAACTTCCCCCCTCTGCAGGCTGTCTCCCTTTGTGGAAAAGCTTTGTAGAGGAACTCTTCCAGCGCGGCCTGATCAAGGTGGTCTTCGCGACGGAGACTCTGGCGGCCGGCATCAACATGCCCGCACGCACGACGGTGCTTTCGTCGCTCTCGAAGCGGGGGGACAACGGAATCTCGCTGCTGACGTCAAACGCCATGCTGCAAATGGCGGGGCGAGCGGGGCGGCGCGGGATTGACACCAAGGGGAACGTGGTAAGTGGGACACCGGTTGAGGGAAGCCGTGGTGTTAAAAGCTGGAGAGTGCGTTGCGCGGAGCATCGTCTACACGCCGGTCTTCATTCTTCTTGTTTTATTTGAGAGTGAGCCGCTTGGCCCCCCTTGGCTCCCTGAGCCGTTTGGCACGTTGTTTTTGGCACAGCCGTGAACAGGCTATTCGAACGGATCTTCCGGTCGAGCTCTTACGAGACCTGTATGGACTTTGTTGCAGTATATTTTCGCCACGTCGGTAATTGACCTGCTCTTTACACTGCTTAAGTTGCTCGGGTGACAAAGGAGTGCTTTTTAGACACGAAAGCAGCTACGCTTCACTCGTTCCGCCAAGTTTTCATCTTCAATCACTCTCCTATTTAATCTGCTGGAGGTTCTTCGTCTTGTAAGCCTCCGCAACGTTTCGCCGTTTCCCGCTGCCAAACCCTCGCAAATCTTGCCAGCGTTTTCGACTTCCGCTGACCTAACCTACATTTCTTTGTCTTGAATTAATGTCATTCCCTGTTTGAGGACGCGGAAGCCTGTGCGCAGCTCCTCTTCGCTCTTATTAGCGCAGACTCCCGCCTAATTTCTCCTCAACCCTCACTTAACCTGCGTGCAGGTTATCGTGCAAACCCCGTTCGAGGACGCGGAGGCCTGCACGCAGCTCCTCTTCGCCGGCTCCGATCCGCTCGTCTCCCAGTTCAAGGCCACCTACGGAATGGCGCTCAACCTGCTCCAGGGGGCGTCGGTCCCCGTGGATGACGTCATCGACGAGGATGACGTCATCGAGGACGTGCGCGAGCAGCGGTACGTGCGCGTGGGGCGGACGCTCGACGAGGCGCGCGAGCTGGTGGAGCGGAGCTTCGGGAACTACGTGGGGAGCGAGGTAGGGTTTTAAGACCAGATTTTAACTGAGTCAGTCGGAAAACTCATGTGGAAAAGGGTCGTGTCCAGTTGCAGTGGGAAGAGTGATCAATTGGGCGCTTTCTTGTTTATGGGGCAGGCAAACAAAGAGGAAGGGCTTGAAGCTTCTACCATTTTCGTGGAGTTTGTTACGTCATTCACAAGGGATCTCGGATCTCAGTCAGATTCGTAGGAAATTCAACTGGACACGGTAAGGCTCGGCGTCTCTACGGTGGTTGGGTGTCTCTAATCGAAAGCGTCGAAACTGTCTGGACCCTTGTTACACATTGACATAGCAGCACCTCTTCTTGCGAATAGCAAGCTGGATGGCGGGAGGCGGAGCTGGCAAAACCAGCAAAATTCTTGAATTAGTTCTCCCATGGAGTATCGAATCAGAACTTCGACTCACACCGCAGGTTAACGCCACTGTTATGTCCCTAACTGCAGGTTATGGTGGTCGCTAACCGGCAGCTGGCCAAGTTGGAGGAAGACCTGGAGCGGCTGGAGGACCAGAAGGCCGCGTTCAGCGCATTTGATGGGGAACCCACCTTAGAAAACCGGCTGCCCAGTGTAGATCCGGCAGACTGGGAGGCGCTCATCTGGTGGAAGGAGCGGTTGAAAGTGAGCTCTAGTTTCTCATTTCTCACGGAATTTTGGGATGGCGAAACGATGAGATTTGGAATTAGAGAAGAAAGGACTGCAACTGGAAAGTGAAGAAGACTTGGGTTGGTGATTTCAGGCGGCATAAACTACTTTTTCAGGGATCAAAACGAAGCTTGAACCTAGCCAGGGGCGGTATGAACGGATAACTCCGGTCAGACACGATTTTAAAATGGAGGGTCTCGCCTCAAGGGTTCTCTGTAACGCAAGAGCTTCAAGTCCCGTTGTCTACTCTTTGGCGCCCTCAGACGTCCTGAAAGAACAAGTAAGGAAGACTCTGTCAGTAGAAGCCGAAGTGAACTGCCTTTTCGAAAATCGTTCCAACACGCCAGAGCCCTACTTAAGTGCTCGTCTTTCTCTTTTGGCAGGCGGAGAAGCGCAAGAAGCGCGCTCTGCAGGCGCAGCTCAACGAGGCGCGCGCCGCGCACGTCCTCCCCTCCCTCAAAAAGCCCTGGATCCGCCCCCCCGTTGTGTGCATAGAATGGGCCGAAGGCTCCGCTGGGCTCAAGAGCATCTCCGCCCTTCTGGTCGATACCGTTCCCCGACCCTACTTTCTCGACAACCGCGAGAACGAGGAAGAGGGCCCGGATGACGACATGGATGACGACATCGAGGGCGGGGGATCCCCCCGGGCATCCCCCTTGTTGGATCGGATCCGAGGGGAGGCGGGGCTCGAGACCGGGTTCGACGACGAGTTTGCTGGCGGGGATAGGGACGGGTTTGAGGAAGATGGAATGGGGTTAAGCGACGGGTTTGGCGAGGTTAGGGTTGATTCTGACGACCAGGGAAGAAGGGAGGACTCCAGTGATGACGAGTATGACGGAAGCTACCAGAAAACCGGCCCGCACCACGTGTTCGACCGGGCGCTCGCGGAGGGTTACGAAACCGGGTTAAGCGCAACCGAGCGCGCCGCGAGCGGCCAGCTGGCGTCCACGAGCGAAGCCACGTGGCAGCCGTCCAAGCCGGACAGTTACTACCTGTGCCTGGGTTCGGATAATAGTTGGTATGTCGTAAGCAACCGGGCGATCACGAGCGTTCATCCGGGGCCGAAAGGGGAGTCGCCGCTGGAGCCCGGGGAAGACCCCCGGGGGGTGCTGAAGGCGCGGTTGAAGGCGGCGGGGAGCCAGAACTGGGTCAACTTGGGCGGGTCCAAAGTGGACGTCTGGTGGGTTAACCTTCCTGGAATCATTTGCCAACGGAAGGAGCACTACCTCGGCTACTGTAATTTTCTAGTCAATATCCACTGATGAATCTTTCGTATCTTCCTCGGAGACTGAGTCTCTGGCAGTGGACTTTGCAATCCTTGCGCCAGTGCTTCCGATTGCAAGTGTCTATCCCTTTGATCCAGAGTCAAGGAATGAGGGCCGTCAAAGAAAGGTTCTCTGTTTAGTTATATCGACTCAAAGCTTTCCTTTGTCAACCTTTAAAGTGAACAACAATTTAAACGCTACTGATTCTTCGGTGAACTTGAGGCCCGAGCAAATCCTTAATTCTCAAGGGCATCCGAGGACGCCATCGAGTTTTGCATCTCCAATTCTGAGGTGCCACCCAAAGCATACCCCCCGATCTGCTCATTCCATGCTTATCCCCAGGATTCCTCCCAAACTGTAATCTCCCCCCTTCTTCTCCCCCCAGGGCCACCGAGGGCGCCATCGAGACGTGGACCTGGACCGTCCAGCTCCCGACCCCCGACTCTCTCCGCCCCGCTTGGACCGCCAGTCCTGCGGTCGTCGCGGCCTGGGAACGCTTGGAAGCACAAAAGAAGGTTACGGCCAAGGTTAGGAAGATGGTTAGCACAACCCCCGCGTTCCGGGAATTGCGGTTAGTGAAGGCGGCGCAGGCGAAGCTGGGCGCGCAGACGGACAGGCTGGAGCACAAGGCGGCGCGGCTGCGGCAGCGGATTGCGAGCATCGAGCCGAGCGGGTGGAAGGAGTTTGTGCGCGTGGTGCAGGTCAGTTTTTCCTGTCGTTTCCCTTTTTTCTTGTTGTTTACTCTGGTTTTCCGGAAGGAAAAAGGTAAGTTGTCTTAGTCCAGAAGTTCGTAGGCTTGTAGAACTGGAAGTGGTGGGTTTGCAGGCATCGAGCCGAGCGGGTGAAAGGAGTTCGTGCGCGTGGTGCAGGTAGATTGTTGTGTCTTGAAGCTAAACCTCCAACAATCCAGCTCTGGAACTCCGAAAGGACGAGTGTCTTCGTGGGCACGGGTTTCTTTGAAGAGGGAATCCGAGCCGCTAGTTTTGTCACTCGGGGACTCCCGGCAGTGATTGCACGCATCAAGGAAGGGGTTTGAGCGTGCTATGCATGTGAGTACTAAGACCTATGATTTGAGTCCTTTGGGCACAATTTTCTGAACCTCCGTGTTCTTCACGGGCAGAAAAGTTGTGGTGGTGACGGAGTTTAAGTCCGTAGGTCTGCGAAGCAGACGGAGGATTTGTTTGCCGAGGTACTGTCAGCAGGAGATGCGAAGGTGGGGCTAGCAAGCGGTCTTGCTACTAAAGCGTGACTAAGTACGTTACCCTGAGTCTCCGCATGGCGTTGCGACACAATGTAAACACGTGCTTTCCCTGGTGCGGGCTAATGTCAGACCAGGGAGCACTTTTTAACCTCGCAGGACCGAACACCACGTTGTCCTCTCGACTTACTGACTCCGCCCTACAACTCTCGAAACGACTGTCCCCTTTGATCGCGCTCTTGATCAACATACCGTTGTCATGTCATCGTCTCAGGTGCTCTGCCAGGCGACCGCCATCGAGCAGCCCTACTCTGCGCTGGTCGCCGAGAACCAGACCGCCCGGCTGACTCCCTTGGGCGAGCTCGCGGCCGCCGTGCGCGGCAGCAACGAGCTGTTTCTAGCCATGGTGTTTTCGGACCCGGAAGTTGCAAATCTGACTACCGAGCAGATTGCGGCGGTGGCGGCGGCTGTCGGGGCGGCGGAAGACCGGAAGCGCTCAAGCAGTGACGGGTGAGCTTTGGATTCATTCACGTTGGATAGCGCTTACATCCAGAATGTACTTGGTGAAGAGGACTTCGGTTTCGTGCGGGGTATATGACTGTCGGATGGCATTTACATCTGGAATATATACCCAAGGAATACGAACATCCGGCGAACCTCGGCGCCGGAATACGAACGGCGCCGAGGTTCGTGCAACCTCGGCGCCGCGTTAATTCGAAACCGTGCGTTAACGCCGGGCGTCCATCATCTGTATCAGTTAGCGAACTGACTGTTCTTGTACGAGATAGTGGCATAAGCCGGCACAAATACTGTTTTGTGGTCGGCAGGCGTCTTCCGGCAGAACTCACAGGGACTGGCACGTAGTTGACAAGATGCAAGCGCAGCTAGGTGCGAGAGTTGATAAGTTTGTCGCGATAACAACAAAGCGAATGGTCTCTTGGAAGAGCCGGGCTTGCTCATTTAGAAGAGCTACTGCAGACCGTGGGAGCTTGGCCGTTTGATATGAGCGCAGACGTTTGGGGACGCCGTTTCAAGACATATTGAAAGAGTGTGCCACGAATATCTCTGCACGCTTGACCATTCAAAACGAGCTATTATGTGAAGCCATTGGAGCGCTCCTTCCAGCCACTTCCCGCAGGCTTCCTCGTGTCACGAGACCGTACTTGCGCCTCAAGATCTTCTCCTCTCTTTACACTCCGCAATTCTTTTACCCCGCAGCTTGTACCAAAGCCCCTCCAAGGACGTCCTCCTGTGGATGGACCGCGTCGAAGCGACGCGCGCCCACCTGTCCGAGCTCCAGGACGCTTCGGGCGTCCAAATACCCACAGACATCGACCTTGCGGTCGCCGGATTAGCAGAGGCCTGGGCCTCCGGAGTCACCTGGAAGGAGCTGTTGGAGGACGTCCGAGTAGACGAAGGCGACATTGCCCGGCTGCTACGACGGACGATCGACCTCCTGGCGCAGGTGCCGTTTTGGCCGCACGTGTCGAAGCAGGTGAAAAGGGCAGCGCAAAGCGCAGCTAAGGTGATGGACCGGCCGCCCATCAGCGAATTGATAGGGTAATCTGCAGTGGACGGCAAGAATGGGCCGGTCGCTGGAAGCCGAAGACCGCGGTGCAGGGCTCAGCTGGATCACGCTTGGCACCACTGAGATTGAAGTCGTTATCATGCGATACGCTGTCAAAGGTGTGAGTTCCAAAGAAATGATGCCGTTGTGGCAATCACAAGAGTCACGAGTTGCGCAAAAGTTGCCGCGAATGGGGAAGCACAACGAAGCGGCATGCATGTGAAAAGATGGACTCCAAGCAATTAGTGTGGTCCGGTGCCGTCAAGTGCATGCGACTGCTAATATATAGGGCAGTGGCACTCCATTCTGATTCAACGAAAGCGCGATGGCGGTGCTCTGACCATTGTTCACGTGCGGCGGTCTCATTGCGGTCATTGAGGTTTGGTAGCGAGAGACGGTCTTCTCAAACTAGAATTTACGATTTAAAACCCCTGTGAGGTAGCAGCTGTGACTTCAACGTATCGTCAATAGATGATGCCAACGCCTGGACGCAATTCCCGGAGTGCCACGATCAGCTAGGCTCTGGTGCTGTTGCTGTGCTGAAAGATGCACGATTGCACTAGGGCGGTTTGTCGGATGGATAATCAGGCCAGCTATGGACCGGCTAGTTTGCTGGACTTCATTCGAATGTATGGCTGGTCGAAATGGGCCCAGTGACCATGGCTGGAATTCAACGGATTCAGGGTGGCATCTTGCAATGTTCCGCCCGCGCAACGCCAAAACGTTGATATGAATGTATGGGATTCGAAGCGAACAAACCGACCCTGCACCAGGAGCTAGAGAGCGCGCGTGCGGCCAACCAATATTTTCTCGCAACGCTCATCAAGCTGTTGTGTTCAAAGTGTAATTGCAAGGACGTTGCGGCAATTTGATTTCTCACTCGTTCGGAAAGCTGCATGAGCGTTGTCACAATATATACATCAATATTGCAACGCTGGCAACGCAACTGCAACGCTCATGCAACGTTGCATCACATAAACCCAAATGTCCGATGACTATCTGAAGTGCTGGTTATTATTGTCATCTGATTTAGCGGCAGCCTGACGGTGACAAGCCTATGTTAAGAAGCCTGCCACTCAAGACTCGGATTGGCGGGCCTATAAAGTCCCACCTTTCTCAATTGCCCCTGGCTGTCTGTCTATTTACTGGTTCACAGCCTGGCTTCAGGTGGTAATACTCCCTGCGTCACAATGTAAAGATGGAGGTGTAAGAGAGTCGCACATGAAAACCTCATCCGAAGTGTCCTTAACAACAGAAGCAGCGAGCACAAGTGTTCATCCTTACAGAATCTGCTGATGAAGAAAGTCGTCCTGGGCAGGGTTGCTGAGAAGAGTCGAGGCTTATCTAACGCTCAGCAAGAAGCGGCTATTGAATTGGCAAAGCCTGCCATAGAGCCATCAGTTCCTGACGTCCTATGCTTAGTTCATGTGCAGCGGTCTTTGTACACACGCAGTTGGAAGTTGGGGAGAAGTGGAAGCCCCAAAAGGGAGACCAGTCGAGGATGCAGCCTTGTGATGAAATCTGGACGGCATCGAGGGATGCTTTGCCAAGAGGTGACCATCTGCGCCGTGGAAGAAGGCCTCAGAACCGAGGACTCTTGTCCACATCAATGTTTTACAGGCCGCTAAAAACCGTTCGCAGTTGCACGGGCGATTGCGCCGCAACTGGGAGCATGGTGGCGTAAGCGCCCGAAGGACTTGGGAGTTGCTAGTGATGAAGCTTCTCAAAAAGAAGGTCAATCACTCAATCTGCATGGCTCTTGGCAAGCAGACAAAGAGCCGGGTTTTGCAAGCGTTTGGACTGCAAGAGCGGAAATGGCAGGAAGTACGAAAGCGTAAGAGGTGTTCGCTTTAACCAGATTGAAGCAAAAGTGTGAGACAACAACTCTTGCAGGAAGCAACCATAGACTCTGTGAACTTAGAAATGCAAACTAGAAAAGCATCCATGGTTTTCGTGAGGGACCCACTATAAAGCAGAAAGCTGATAAATCACAGAAACGGATATAGACTGAAGCTCGGCCAAACACAGACACAGAGCGGTGAAAGTTGGATAACCTGATAAGAGTCAAGCAACAATTGACTAAGGACTTTTCGAATGCGCACCACAAGCCTAATGACAACAAACCTTCCGAGACACAAGTCACATGAGCAATACAATAGAAGGTCACAGCTTACTTCATCCTGGTCGAACAGAACGCTCTGTGGCGCTTTTCCATATGCGTAGTGGAACAGAGCGCACCAGTCTGCTTTGTTGGCTGGCGCTTGTAGGACAGCGTCTGCAACCAGCCCCAAATCATTCACCTCATGTGCCGCTTCGTTCAGACTCTTAGCATTCCCGACAGCTAGGAGCTTCAGTTGTTTAGTGGTCAGGCCCACCCGCTGCCAATCTGCTTGAGTGAGCCTGCTGATGAACGAATGCCAAGGCTCTTCTGCTGCCTTTCTGTCGGGGCCCAGGTTTTGCAAGAACTGCTTTCGCGCCTGATCGCGACAAGTTCTCCGCTGTACGGCCTTCTCCGCCAACTCAACGCCTTTGATGAGCCTTTGCAAAGGTTCGAAATTAGTCTTCTTCGCTGCTTCAATCTCCGTTTCTAGAGCTGCCAGATTTGCTTCTCTTGCATCAGCTCTTTCTTTTGCTTGTTCTTGAGCACGTTCCAGTTGCTCAAATCTTTTGTCATTGGCTTCCGCTTGTTCCTTAAATTGAAGCTTCAATTCCTCCAGCTCTGCTCGGACGATAAGGGAGTCTTTGCACTGGCCCTCATCTTTTTTGACGTGTGAAAGGTCCTCATACAGCTCCGCACATGACTTCTTGGCCTGTTCTTCCTTCTGCCTTGCTTCGAAGCACTGAAACTGCCGCCCCATGACGGGAGGCCTCTTTACCAGTAAGGCAAGCACCAGCTTGACCGTGACTTTCCCTACTGTCCTGACTGTTCGTTACCTAAGACTATAAGAGAACGGTCTACCTAACTCCGTTCTTTCGTCAACAAGTTTAAGATTTGGAAGGCATTTTACTGAGCCTTTTAAGACTACAGACTTTCTTGCCGAAGTCTCTGTAGTGAGTGCTCATTCGCATCCGACTGATAACTTACCCGTCTGTAGAGCGCTCGCTGTACAGGACCTCAGCGCGTGAAACATGTCTCTTCAATTTAGGTAAAGTAAGCTCCAGGTAAAGTAAGCTCCCAGCCTAACACTAAAAACCTAACCCTCAAAATCACCCGCTCCGCACCCGAACCCACCCTAACCCCCAAACTAACCCCACCCGTCCCAGGCTGCTTGGCTTACTTACTTACAGTCTTATGCGTGAAACTAGTACTGGTGGGCCCTGGCAGTTGTTACGTCTCGTTGGACGTTAACGCGTGCGCGGCCCGCAGTAACTTCGCGGCCGCGCGCGGCTACGACAGGGTTCAGGGGTTCAGGTACTGACTCGTCTGAGTTGTCGCAACATGTTGCAAGGGTCGAGAGTCAATTGCTGCTGCCACTGGCACCGCAAAAACAGCCAGCGAAACACAGCGCTAGAAAATGTCGTCTTCCTACGAGAAGGTTCGGGGGGGCAAACTCGTTCTCAAGGGCGGCCTCGGGGTCAGCCAGGGCAAGATCAAAAAGGGCAAAAAGAAGGCCGCCAGCAAAGCGGCGGAGGGGGACGCTTCAAAAGAGGAGGACGGCGGATTTGATACCGGGATTGGTTTCGCTCCAAGCGGGGAGAAAAAGACCGCTAAGTATGAGGAGATGTTCCCGGAAGAAGCACAGAAGCTCGGTTACACTAGCAAGGAGATTGGCAACAGGGAGGCGGCGCTGGATGCGAGGGCAAAGAAGAGAGCGGACCGGTACTGCAAGTAGAACAGGCATTTTGCATAGGGAAAGGGCGGCGACAGCTTCCTGGTGCAACCACTGCCAAGTGGTAGCCCCATGTAGCAGGCATGTTTAGTTGCTTGAAAGCTGTAGTGGAGCAGATGATCGGGGGCCACGAGCTGGAAAATTGCAGCGCAACGTCGATGTGGAAGTTGGGACTCTGCCAGACTTCACTATCCAGCGTTCAGCGGCGCAGCTGAGAAAAAGGGTTGTGCAGGGAAGAATGGTGTGGAAAGGAACAGACGTTAGGCAGGTCTCATTAAATGGGAGTGTTGCATGCGGTAAACTCCCTGGTGCATAGAAGGACACGATGATGCAAAAGTGCTGCGGCAAGGCCCGGGGAATGACTAGTGGTGCAGCTACCTGGTAAGCAGCTGGGATTGGACTCTGCCAGCTTGCCGTCTGCCGCGGTGCTCTCCCCAAAGAGTTGCAATGGTCATCACTTCTGATTGCGCTGGCTGGCTGCTGATGGACTCATCTCAGGTGGCAGTGACTGGGTTGAGCAGCGATGGTCTGGTTTCTGAATGTGGCGTTGAGCTTATGCAGCTGGTGACACCTGTGCTCATATAGTTTTTTCTGTCACTTTGGCTTGTATGCAGAAAAGGCTTGCCTTGGGGCAGCATGCATCTCGCGAGCGTTGTTCGGGCAAGTCTGGTTATGTCATGTAGAGACATCCTCGTTGACAAGTGACAGGATTTGTGTGTTGAGATAAGTTGCTCCATGGGTATACTGTGGCCTGCACGTGAACCCTCAAGGTGTTGCAGGTTTGCAGAGCTCCGCAAGGATTGAGCAAGAGTTGCGGCGCAGAAGATTGACTGGCCAGCGGTGTCATTGAGCGCTCTAGAGCGGAAGACTCTTGAGATTGTCACAAGAATGATCAAAGTAGAATTTGAAGGCCTGGGAGTATTTCCTAAAGGAGCATTTTGAGGTGATGAAATTCCAAAAGCCGCTTGTTATGTCGAACAACCAGTATGTGACTCAGTAAGCCATGATGTCCATTATGTTGTGCAGCGGTACGCATAGCTGGACACTGCAGTTGCTTGGCATATAAGTCGGATTGTATAGTCAGTCCATGCAGCCATGTTCTGCCAAGTGCACTCATTGACTCTAAGCCGCAATCAAAGTTTATGTGGATGCCAATCACATGTGAGAAAATCACTAAACACACACATGTGTGGCGGCAGGTGCATGAATGCGTTCGTATACTAAAATGACTGAATTTGCACATGGTTCATAATTCTATGGAACATGAAACATGAGATAGACAAGTTACACCAAATCATGTGTGCACTGCTTGAGCATATACATATGGACCTGCGTACATCCATACGTTGCATGCATCAAGAGCTCTGACCCGGGGCCCCAGGACATTTTGATTGTTTGCAAGGCGCTCATGTACTTATGGTCGATCCCAGGCAATCACGAATGCGAATTTCGCCAGAGTAAACTAGGTACTTGAAAACCTATGCAATCTTCTTGCCTTTGTACAAGTGTCGTTACAAGCTTGCGATTTGGCAGGATTTGCGAAGAACCGAATCTATGCTCCAGCACCTCTTGAAAAAGTTAAGTAAACGTAGAACTAAAGACAATCCGTGCAATCTATCGTCTCAACTTTGCACCAAAACTTTGCGACCTGCTGAAACCTTTTCAAGCCAAGGTAGCACAGCATCATGGAACAACTCATGCTTATCATCATGCGGGCAGTGACCGCCGCTGATTATGGTCAACTCTACGTTCGGATTCGTTTTAGGCAACGCCGTGAAGAAGCGACCGATTGGGCCGTCCACCGGAATGAACGTGTCTGTATCCCCCCACACAAGGAGGATGGGGGTAGAAATCCGGGGCAGCAGTTTTTCGGGCCGGGGACCAGGGGGGCCGGAGAGGATTGAACAGAAGGCGTGGAGAGCACCTTCGTCCCCTGCTGGTCGGCTGATGATCTGCGAGGAGTGTGATTGAAGTACCGTGAGGGCCTGGGCAGATTTAAAAACTTCGATCAGGAGCACGGAAAGGTAACTACGATGGGCCTGTTCTGAACGATTTGGGTCATGATGCATGCAAGACCAAGAGCACTTTTAGGGGCTGCGAAAGTAACACGGCGAGACTGGAGGGAATATAAGAAGCTCCTCATCTTTTCTAAAGAGGACGAGAAAGAACGAAAGCAATCTCTTGCGAAAAAGAGGCAGGTCGAGCGGGCTTTAGATACAAGTAAGCCGAGCCCAAGCACAACTGGCCATTGAGACGGAGGAGGCTCGACTTTGAAACAGAAACGTAAGTGATCCATGCAACCGGCTTTATCAAAACTTGACGAAACTTGGTCCACAGAAGCGTGAAACAGGTGCACTACCAAAGACCGTAACTGGTGCAGAATGAGGTTCAAAGGTTCCCGACAGGCTTTGCGGGATCTCACGCGGTGCCGGCGCTTACCTCGACGAGCTCCCGGTCTACTGCAGCCTCGTTCACGTACACAGACCGCAGCACGGTCTGAATGTTTTGGCTGCAAAGTCAATTTGGACCAATGGCTCAGTGGCTTTGGGAGAGTGAGAGCGGCAGCTTCGCGCTGCCACAATCGCGAACGACATCACGGCTGCACGACTGACCACACTTTGCGTCCTGAAAACAAGTCCAGCTCTTGCGGATCAAATATAGAGATCTGAAAATCACTTTATACAGCCGGAAAGTTTCCCTTGGTGCGGCCTTTCTTGCTGAATTTCGAAAAACATATTCAACTGAAAGGAACGGGTCTTTGCAATCTCAGGAACCCCAGAAAAGCGAAGTCCTTCGAAGCATAAAAGCCTAGGCTTGGAAAGAGTGTCGTGAGCACCCACCTGGTGCGGAACCTGTTGAATATACCGCCCGCCAGCTTTTCTTGCGCGAGCAGAAAATCGATGAACCAGAACACGGGCAGCAGCATCGCGACCCGCCAGTCGTCTGCAATTGCTTTGTTGTTCATGCCACCCGCGCAGTTAACCAGTACGCACCCCTTAACCAGCTCCGGACCGCCCTCTGGTAACAAGCCAGGCAGAGGGGTTAGCACTTGAGTTTGAGATAACCCTTTCAGCCAGCGTGAATGGCAAACAGGAACGGGTGCCGCCCACGCAATTGACCAGTAAGCACCCCTTAACCAGCTCCGGACCGCCCTCTGATGCAAAACCAGAAGGCCGGGTTAGCGGTTGGGTTCGAAATAACCATTTCAGCCAGCGTGTTTTGCGAACAGGGACAGGAACGCCGCTGGCATAATTGACCCGTGTGCACCCTTCACCAACTCCGGAGCGCCGTCTGGCAGTGAGTCCAGATGGCCAGCTTAGCGATTGAGTTCGAGATAACCATTTCAACCAGGGTGATCTGCAGAGAGGAACCCCATGACCATCTCCAAACCGTCCTTCTTAAGGATTCGAAGTTAGCTGTAACTGGATTACAAGGTGTGCGCACAGGCATCCTTATCGAACCGACTCGCTAACTGCCTCGTTCTGTCGAGTCAATCGTTTACAAAGTCGTTTTAGCTGACGTGATCCACCTTAACGGACTTCAGTAAAGCACTCAATCAGGCAGCGAAGGATGCATGATTAGCTTTGGCTACCAGCGAGAAGCGGCCCTGTCAAGGGCGCCAAGCTAGCAAGTTTCGACACCGAATCAAGGACGCCGCAATCGCGCCTCTCCAATCGATTCAACTCCTGCTTCGGAGATGACAGACCAAGGGAAGGAAAAACTGGGCATGCGGTCCAGCGCGGCCTCTGTTGTCACAACTCCTGCTTATGGATTACCAAAGATTGGGGGACAGATTTACTGAGTGGCAGGCGAGTTTAAAAAGAGCACAAGAAGGCAACGACAGAAAACGAGCAGGAATGTTTGCGAGGCATGAATTAGTGCGCACGAGCAGCGAGAGACTCACCTGCCGCTGCAATGAGTGCGGTCAAGCTCCCCAGGGAGTTGCCCATAAGAATGGTGGGAGCGCGCACGACGTCTGTCAAAAAGTCTTGCAATTGCTGCACCGCAAGGACGGGGAAAAAAATGGTTTAACGGTACTATAGAGGTGCGGATGTGTAGACAACCGTGCTATCGCGCTAGGGAGTACGGGGGACTCGTAAAGATTAGAGAGCGGCTGGCGGCCAGAAAGGTATGTCGAAAACAGGCCCTTCGTATACAACCCTGAAACGTAACATATACGATGATGGACCAACCGCACTGGGTTGGCGTTTCTATAGATACAGCTCAACTCTGCCACCCTCACCCTCTTCCTTCGGGGCGTTCTAGTCTTTTGCCTTTCCTGACTACTTGGTTTCAACCTCTTCGTAGGTTTGCAGGTTGACGCGTCACATTGCGGCTCCAGGGTTTGCCTTTCCCCTCCAGACTACTGGGGTGGCAGGGTGCCAGCAGTGTTCCGGGTTACCTGAACGAGCTCAACGAGACCTGGCAGGGGGCTAACGGTCCTGGAGTTGTGGCTAACCGGATGCTCATAAGATGTTTATTTTCGACCCAGCTGATGATTGGGTACTGAAGGTTCCGGCTTCGAAAAGCGGCAAGTCGATCGGAGTCGCATACACGCTGCCTAGACAGTTTGTGTGCGAGCGATATTCAGCGGAAGCGGAGATGACGGCTTCAAACGAAGAGGGAGTTTGTGTGCCTCACCTCGGCCCAGGTTTCCATCGTGTATACAAAGCCCGCTGGCTTCTCTGACCGCCCATACCCTATCATGTCCACAGCGTAGACGGTGTGCGTCTTGGAGAGAACGGGAATGTTCCTGCATGGAGCATTCCCGTCAAGTTCTAGAAAAACAGTGGCTCTCAGGCAATTGCCGACCTAGGTAGAATGCGCTCGAAGCAGGCCGAACGAACCTTCCGCATTCTTTGGAAGATCGACAGGTAGAGATCCTCCTTGCTGATGGACTGCGAGACAAATGAATCAGAGCAAGGCAGAGGCTGAGCGACGACGAACTTTCGAAGAGCTCGTTGGGGACCTCGGAAGCGCAAGGATTGGATGTTGAGTATCAGCAGCCCTAGAAAGCGGAGGCATTACGAGCGACTGACATTACCCAAAAACAGTCCAGGAGAAGCGGACACGTCGTGGGAGAAAGAAACAAGAGCGTCATCCGAAGAGGCAAAAGGGAGTCGATGAACTGATCAAATCCAGAACAGGTGGGTTGATTCTTACAGCGTTGAGTGCTGAGATAATTCTTGCGAAAGGTTTCAGAACGACGACAGCCCAGCTGACAACGATTAACTGATGCCACTGGCTCAATATGTGGAGCCAAAGACAACTATCGTCAAAAGAGGACGTCTTTGTTGACACCCCATTCCCAAACTCAGAAATATAGCTGTTGATTGGCCGTCAGAGTCTTCCCGAAAAGTACCCGCAACTGTACGTCTTTCTCGCACTTGCATCAAAGTCTTCTCCAAACACATAAACCAAGACGTACCAAACAAACCTCAAGTTCAACGGCCCACAAATAGTCTCTAACTCACTTCCTCCAGTGCCCAAGCGACGCGCCAAAGCCATGGACCAGCACAATGGGCGGGCCGGTCCCTATCTTGACGTAGTTGATCTTATGCTGGCCCTTCCATTGCCAGGTTTGACACTGGTCGTAGATCGCCTGCAGAGCCGGGCTGATGACAGGCTCCGCCTCTAGTTTTTTTGCCGCCTCCTCTTCTGTGGTGGCAGCCTCGGCGGCAGCTTGGATAGTGTCGGTTGACGGCTCCTGAAGTCAGAGACCCAGAAATCGTCGACATCGTGGCAGAACTGTCACACTTTACCTCCTGAGAGGCTTGTATAAGGCTGATATGAATGATATATTGCATATTCAGGCCTGGGACACATGACATTTCCTTTCTGAAACATCTTGGGGTCTGTCAGCAGCGGAAGCGGTGGCAGGTAGTCTCCGGAGACTTCCTGCATGCTTTCCCTCTTGCTAGCAAAAGCTTGAGGCCAATCAAAATATTCATACGCAGCAATAAGGATCAAAGATGTAAGATAGGAGGCGTTTTCATTCAAAGAATGAGGCTGAAGGTCAAAGCAGCCTGCAGTACATTGAACAAATGAAAGCTGGGGCATAAGACATTGGTGGCGTGAGGTGTGGCGTGAGGTGTGGAACTAAGAAATGCAGAATGTGATTGTAGACCTCCACTCACATCTGCCAATACTGCCGCAGTCGCAGCAGCTACAGCCTCTGCCTCTGTTTTAGAGGAAGAACCAGGCTCTTCCTTCCCCTTTCCCTTGTCACCTTCCCCTTTCTCCGCAGCGTCCTGATCACTGCCACCCTTGGCTTGAAGCGTGACGATTCGCCTGGCGCTTGGCGTGCGCCGTCCAAGCTGGGCCTGCAAAATGCTGCCTGAGAGTTGGCCGCTGCTTTCTGGTCGGAGGCTTCTGCCTTGAGAGCTTCCAAGAAAGAATGAGGGGGAAAGCGAGGCAGAGACGGAAGTGATGTTGTGCGTCTTCGACCACCTGCAGCTGAAGCACTGGAAGCTTTGCACCTGAGCAACTGCTAGCTTGCGACCATTCAGTGGTTGTGGGGTGTAGGAATCAGAGCTCGTCTGGTGCCTTGTATGGAGCCCAATCAATGGGGGCCTGGTCAAGGTACACCTCAGGGGGAAAGAAGCTGACATGGTGGCCAAGTCTGATCAAGCCCCGCTTTCTGCAGTGACGGGTGCGCTGGAGCCTTGAACTGAAATACAACCTGTGCTTAAAGAAAGATACACCAATCGCACCTTGAGGAACGACCTCGTTGATGGCTTTGTATGTGCTTACAGTAGCTTACAGAAATGAAGCTTGTGCACGCTTCAAACAGAGGTCGTCCTTGACAAACAACGCCTAAAACAGAGCCCCCTGCAAAGTTTTGAGAGAATGGAGGAGAAATGAAGTACGAGAATTCTAAGAAGTGCATGCAGACCTGGATGACCTGGATGATTGCTCTGCTGAACTTTGGCCCTTTGGCAGAACCAATTAGGTCCCAAGTCTAAGCAACAATTGAAGACAACAACGTTCATACTTGGCCGTCGTTTAGAACCAACTGTGCCTTACAACCGTCAGATGAGGCCCATGTGCCTAAAATGCCCCGTCCTAAACATTCGACCCTTGGTATTATCCTGGTCACACCGTACACACACGCTTATTACATACTGAACATCCTTCAGCTGCTTTCACTTTTCCCGTGTTGACAGATCTTCAAACTGGTGGTAGGCCTTCCTTTGCGCTTTACATACAGTACCCGCGCTCTAGCTTCTGGTTCTCTGCCTTTTGGTGCCCCCTTCCTGTCCGAGTATCTGCGCCTAATCTGACGCACCTTCTCACGTTCACGTGCGCTATTGCAGAGGTGTCATACCAAGCAGCACAGCGTGCAAACCTTCTCAGAGTCATGGAGCAGCGCCCTCACCGTCAATGAATGAGCTGTTCTTCACTCATCATCTTAAAAAGTTTTCTGGCCTAGTACCTAGTTAACCAAGTTTTGTGGACGTCAAAGGCAAGGAATCTGGCCAGGGGCAGTGCAGCGCTCCGCTCTCACTTATCATGATCCTTCCTTCTCAGGATGTCAAAAACACCACTAGCTTACGCGCTTATGCTGGTTGCCCTGTGCGGCTTCTTCCTCTTCACCAAACCGGGGGGCGATCTGAGGAAAACACTGAGGGGTGCTCGCAAACACGGGCCTCGGCTGAAACTTATCAAAGAGGATTTCAATCTGGAGCTAGAGCACATTCCTTTTGACCCGGTGATAGCAGAGGTGGAGCAGAGGCGGGAGGATGCGTCCTGGGAGAGGGCACACGCATCAGACGTGCAGGTGCGCTTATCTTCTGAGTGATGGCTCAGTGTACTCGCGATTGCCTGATTCACGAGTTTGAAACGAGAATTGCGGCCAGTATGATGATTTTTTTTACATATAGAGGATTGTGCTGAGAGAAGGGAGTCTCATTTGCAGCTCAGGGCAGTCTTTGAAGAGCTTCTTTGTCCGCCCTCTGACCCATGCATATGACAACATTCTAAAAGCAGATTGCACGAACACCATTGAAAGATTGATGATGGGGTGGTAAGTGCTTTCCTCCGTTTCAAATTGAGATCTGCAGAGAGGTCATTCAGAAGGCCTCAACTTTCTGAATCTTTCAGACCCTAGCTCCCAAGCACTCTCAACTGTAGGAGGAACCAGAAGAAGTCCAACCCAAGGCCTACTAACGAAGTCATTTTTGACAATCACTCCTTTCAAATGTGAGGAAAACTAGGACATGGAACAATTCGAATAGTTGTTTCCAATCGCATCGACATGCCTCTGAAAAGCAGTACTTGAGACGAGCTCGTTAAAGCTTGGGCCGCTGCGGCGGGCTCCTCAGCTACTTCAAGTGGCCACACCTTCTCCTTGGTGTATGACCTCTCATGAACTGAAATAGACTTCTGTGGATCTCGATAACTCGACCTAGAGGCGGACCCGATAGAAGCGTGTGCAATTGCATCAATGACCTGGGGGTGATTGATTTTATTTTCTGATATACGTTAGACTACTCGACACTCATTTTGTGTGCAGGGGCATAAACCCGAAACGGCGCCCAGAACCGGCCACCCCGCCACAGGCATCGACGACTTTCTCGACCACCACCTCGAGGGGACGCCCGACCTCGACCCCGACTTTGACGACGACGATGACTACATCAACTACCTCGAGGACGGCTTCAACTTCACGGCACGCATCGAGGCGCTATTTCCGATGATTGACAAAGACAGGAACGGGGCGATCACGCTCGGGGAGATGTGGGCCTGGCACCGGGAGCTTGCGACGAACCAGAGCCTGCACCGGAGCGATCGGGAGATGTCGGTGATCTTGCACGGGAAGGAGGGGAAGGTGACACTAGCGGACTACTTGCACGACCCGAACGAGGGAAAGGAAGGTGAGGCAGGGTTGCCTGGACTAGATGACCCAGAATCCGAAAGTTGGTGGGTCTACATGCGCTCTACTATTGTGGTATCTGAACTTCGTATAGCATGGCATGACGTGGCGTTCTGAAGCACATGCTCGTTCGATCTCCTGGTTAAAATTTTTGTCTTCTTGAATCTGACCCTCCTCTTTATTCTTTAAGTCCCCATACTCGGGCTAGTGCTCATCGAGATTAACATCCACGGATCGCTATTGGCCTCCCACGGTAATTGATGCCTCCAGAGCAGTGCAGAAACCGCAACAAGCCTGATTGCTAGACCCTCTTGTATCTTCCCATCCTTTCCCAACCCCTTCGTCCATGATCTAGACTCTGATTCGGGGCCGTTCAGACTGGGCTCCTTATTCCGTTGTTTAGGATCAAACTAGGTCCCGACTGGCTTCACTTTCGTCCTTGAAAGTTTCAAGGACCTGGTCCTAATGGGGATTGCACTCTCATAGTCATGATCAGCTTTTGTCGTTTGGTCCAGATCAGCTGTTTCTGTACTCACTTCGTTTTTACGCACCCCTACGCAGGCGCCAAGGAATGGTCGGAGCAAAGTCTGAAGTGGGTAGCTGCCAGCAGACGGAAGTTTCCGCTAGCCGATGCGGACGGGGATGGGAAGCTGGACCGGTTTGAGTTCAACGAGTGAGTGCATTTCGAATTTGATGTGTGATACGTTATTTCTGGATGAATGCAGAGAGTAGCAAGCAGGCATCGGGGGAGCTCTTATGGAGGTCGTAGACGTAAGTGCATCGTCTTGATAGGGCGTGTAGGACATTTGTAGTCTTGAGATGGGTACATGCTTTCAATTTTCTATGGAGCGCTTTCTGGGGCAACGCTTGATTGCCTTAGTCCTGTCTTTGAAGCCCCATTTTGCCACCAGGAGATCAAATTGGCTGCGTACAACAGAGTGGTGTGAACGGACTGGTAACCTGTTCGAAAGGCCCCCCCCTGAATCCCTTGTAATCCCCCTCATCTATGCATGAAACCGGTTTGAGGGAACGAGAGCAACACACTACGATACAACACTCGCAGCGTCAGTGAGCTGCGTTGAGTCACATTCTTGTAAGACAACATGACCCACTCCGACCTATTCAGCCCAAAACTTTCACTATCTCCAACCGTCCACGTCGAGTTTCTCACAATCATTGATTCGTATAAATCCTGACCATTGCTTCTGTCAGCTTTTTGCACCCGGAAGACAGCGATAACGAGAAGCTGCAGCGATTTGTGCGGGAGGAGGAGATCCGGGAGCGGGACACGGACGGCGACAGAAAGCTCTCGTTCGCCGAGTTTCTCGAGGGCATGTACGACGTGTTGCGGGATGTGAGAGTGAGCGCCGCTGCTTATCTTGTCGCCTAATCTCTCGGACATCGGTTGTCTTCTCGAGCTATTCGTAACAAACTCGCGCAACTGCTTATTCTGCATAAATCTTTCTAGGCCCCAGATTGTGTGATATTCGTACGAACCCATTACTTTACTGGCGATCCCGTTCTCGACTTCCGACCATTTCGATCATCGGCGCATAATCCGAGGCCCGTGTAAGCCAGCCGGGGAATGGAGCCGACTCTTTAGGACAGAAGCCTGCCGACATCTTACTCTGCTGCTGTGCCGACTTTCTTTGTCGCTTTCCTCTGTGTTGGACCATTCGTCATGTCAGCTTGCTTTGAACTCCACGTGGGCGTGATGTCGTGCACGTCAGGATTGTTTTATGGGGGCATCTAGGTGTATCTGTCTCGAACGGTGGGCGATGTTGCGGCGATGCCGCAGGATAGTTAGACGCAATGTCCCACATGGGGAGATTTTTACACCGTTGGTGGGGGTGGCCTGCAAGTGGCCAGTCTTCGACTCAAACATTACATTGGGGGAGCATCAGGCTGACGTTATGATGGGGCTCCGAGCCCTTGTTGGGAGCAAGCCGTGGGAACCGCGCTGACATTTTTGAAGCCTGCAAGAAATCCGGAGGAAGTTTATTCTCACCCTCCGATCTTCGGTCAATTCTTTCAGTACGGCATTCTACCCAGCCGAGGCGTCGTGCTGCCTCTCCGTCTCAACTGCTGACAACCATTTTATTTGGTCGGAAATGTCAAAACAGACATACACTTACTGGTCAGATGGAGCACGGTTGAGAAGCCCCGACCACCAGCCTGACGGCCCCGGCTCTGACATACTGGAACAAACCCCTTGACTATTTTTTTGTTTTGTGCTCATTTCCCCATGTTTCTTCATTGTCTTTTTTCCGCCCAGGCAGAGGAAGAGGAGGACGCCCGGTTGGGAGTCCCCGACCACCGGCCCGACGGCCCGGGCTCAGACATTTTGGGATTTCCTCTGATTTAAATATCTGTCAATATTTTTGTTTATCTTCACGCGGAGGAAGAGGAGGACGGCCTGTTGGGAGGCCCCGACCACCTGCCCGACGGCCCAGGTTCCGACATACTAGGACAAACCCCTCATCTACGTCTCTTCATCAGTTTGGTATTTATGTCATCTGAATTCCTTTTTACTTTTGCTTCAGGCAGAGGAAGAGGAGGACGCCCGGTTGGGAGGCCCCGATCACCGGCCCGACGGCCCGGGCTCCGACATCGACGACCGGCAACGGCGGCCGGGGGGGCAGTGGTCGGGGATCAAGCACCGGACGGACTACATGCGGGAGCAGTCGGCGGTGGCGGACCGGCGCTTGAAATGGGCGCAGCGGCGGTTTGAGGAATTGAACCGGAAGCAAGACGGGTGAGGTTTGGAGCGTCTGTTTCTCTGAGGCCGGTGGCCTGCTTTGGAGTCTGCTTTTGTAGGCTAGTTTGTCAGCATTTTCTTGTTGATTCTTTGGTTGTCACATCAGCTGTCGCAGTGGCAGTCGATTGGACGACCTTGGTTGCGAAGCGCTTGCCCTTCTTTGAACGAGCGTCATCGTGAGCTAGTAAGGAGAATCTGTGCTTTCTTGTCGAGACGTGCTTTCTTCGTTCCGGCCTTCGCCACTAGACCAGCCGTTCGGGCTCTTGTCAGTCGACGATTCTTGTGGATCTTTTATGTTTGATACTTAGCGCCTTCTTAGAAAATCCAAGCTGAGGGTAGCACGCTCTTTGAAAACCTTGAACCTGGTGACTTCCCCTCAACAACCGTTCGTGTGACGAAATGATTGAGAGGCGTCACCGCCAGAATGGTCTGGCGGAGCATGCCAGAAGGAGCTGACACGTGGCCCGCTCTGACTGGCCCAGGTTTTTGACCGAGGACGAGTTGATACCAGTGATTGATACGCTGAACCCTGGGGAGAGCTACTTCGCCAGGCTGCAAGCAGAGAGCCTCCTAAACCTGGTAAGCCAATGCCCTCATGGCACGCGGCGCTTTCTCGGCTACTTAGTCGGTTTCTAGCAAGATATTTATATGACTTACTGAGGGCTTCCGATTCAGGCCCAACAACGTGACGGGATGCGACGTCGGTTTCGGCACTTCAGGTGGGCGCATTATTCTAAGATGTTCGAAACGAAGGGCTGTGGAGAGTCCATGAAATCAAGGCTGCATCCGGTATCGCTGCTTTGAGCATCTCGCGTGCACTCTGTTCGCAAAGTTTCCTGATTGACCTCACCTTTTATTGCATCGTTCTTAGTCGCCTCCGAGCGCCGTGTTTGGGTCGAATATTTACCAACGAAGGATCGGAATCAGGGTATTCAATCAAACACGGCATGAATAACAAACGCTTTTTTGTATCTGACGCCAGACCTTCGACAGTGGACCCCCATAGACCTTTCCTACGTTCTAAAGAGAGCACGCTTTTACTTGCCTTCTCCCTCTCTATGAAGAGTGAAGTCTTTTGCTGCCCCACTGAGCTGAGGTAGACTTGCCTTGCAGGCGGACGACAACAAAGACGGGGAATTGTCTCTCCAGGAAATGTTGAGGCACAAACATTCATTTTACCGAACGATAGATGAGGACGACGAAATTTTCATACATGATGAGTTTTAATGGTAATTGTCTGCTTTGATCAGGTCACTTGCCTGCTCTTAACATGTAGCTAATATGCCCTTAGAGGGTCAAAGGTTAAAGAGTAGAAGGGTGTGAGCAGGTAGGCAAAGAGACGTTTCAGTCTTGAGAAAAGCAGCGTGTGACTCTTGCACTGATGGATCCAACTGGATGGCATGGTCTGGGTGCTCATACTTTATGCGCGGCAACCGTTTGACCGTCGGACTCAGCCAACGACGATTTCGTGTGGTCCCCCTGGACCTGACAATTCTCAAGTACGTGGTGTCCATCTTAATCATGATCCGATCATGCAATAGGTATGTGGCGCATGGGTTGCAATGCGATCGAAGCGCGCTACCTTATTTTGAATTGATCGACCACGGATCATGCATTGGATTATCAAAGCTCAACATTTCGATGCATGATAGAATTACTACGAAACGTTAGCCTGCTTGAGCTTCTCGAGTATATTATGCCACGTCGTGCCACAGTGCACTTGTGCAGTACTAGGAAAACCAATGACTGCAGCTTTGTCATGTTTGGAAACCAAAGCTACGCAGCGCATAACTTCCAGGGTGCGCATGCAACCCGGCATGCACATGGGCCTATACAAGCGCAGCCTCGCATCGGAATTCTGAATCAGGCAGACGTGACACACTATAGACTGCATTCATTCTCATGGCATAGACATGTTTAACAAACGGTCGATCACAAGGCTGCAAGTCTTGGACATACCATGGCATTACAGCTCTTTCTCGAGCTTATCAGGCATCTGCCTTTTTTCCAACGTGAACCGGCTGAGCTACCGGCCTCAATCAAATTAGATGTTTTATGGAATGCCGCTCTCGCAACTGTTTCTCAAACAGGGGCGCTTAACGATTGGGCCCCGGTGGAAACTGGGAACCCATCAGGTTGAATCCTCTTTACCACCACAATTTAGACCGGCAAACGACGCTTCAAATCAATCAGCAAAGACTCCCTCGAATCCGTTTCAAGGGCCTGCAGCTCTTGATCCAATATTTGCAGCTGCTCTAGAAACCCATCGTTCGGGCATATCTGCGGGCGCGCATTTCTCACCGTCCGATCTGCATCCTCGAGCCTCATCCCCTTCTCCTTCATAAGATACGCTATGCACACGGTGGGACTCCTGGAAACGCCCGCAAAGCAGTGGACGTAAACCTTGCCTCGTCCACTCTTTAAAGCCGCAGAAATAAACTCGAAAGCGTCGTCCCAAGCCGCAGCGAGCTTCTCCGCTTCCTCGTCTCGATCGTCAACGTCTATGACAAAGTACTCAAAGTTCACAAACTTTGGCGGCCGGATCGGCCAGCTTTTCTTCATCACCTGGACCACGTGCGTCACGCCCAGACTTTGCAGGACATAAGGGCATGACGCCGCGTCATACGCGCCCAGCAATAAGCCGCCCCCCAGGTCCGCGAAGTTGCGGGCTCCCCTCGCGTGGCGTGCGCAGAAGGAGCACGAGCCTTCTTTGTCGGGGGCCAGATGCCAACCGTTGACACCGGCTTCTTCAAGCTGGGGGATCCCCCGGCTTGACGACTCTGAAGCCATAGCTTTTAGGCGCGAACACGTGGCTCCACTACAAGCGCTTTGAAGTACTGACTGCTTGAGGGTTGTGTTAAGGATCTATTTGAACTGAGGTCGTGACTAAAAGTGCGAGGTCCGTTTTAGGATCGCGGGTTTTAAGGTATCCGTTTCTGATAAGAAAAACTGAGGTAGCTTGGATCGACGTTTAACAACCAACAACGATTCGTTGTTTTCCCTCTTCCTGTCTGTCGGCGGCGGCTAGGTCCGGAGAACTTCTTTCTCATAACGGCGACACTCTTCGAGCAGCCCTTCAAAAGTAAGCTTTGGCAGGCAAGTTGGGATCTCCTGCTGTTGGAAGAAAGACAACGTAAGCGGCTGTTACAAACGTCTAGTCGCTATGGGTTCTGGCTGGAAACTAAGCACTAACCATACACGAGAAGATCAGGCGTGGCACGTCATACGGGCAGTCAGTATTCTGCTCACTGCCGGAGCCAGAAACCTCCCTTCCCTTCAAATCTGGATTGATGAAGACTCTTTGAGAATGTTCCTAACTTCTTCAAAGGTCTTCTCCGAAAAGCTATTTGATCTTTTCTTTGAGAGAATGTCTCTCTGCATCACGCCTGAATCACGCCTGCAGCCGTGTTTCAGTTAAGGTCAAGGCCGACGTCGCTTCCTGCTGTGTGAAGCTGTACTCGCCACGATTCCATGACTGAATAGGCCGGGAAAAGAAACGTACTCAACAGACTTTTGATACAAAGCTTGAATGGGTGAAAATTGACTTTAAAAACACGGGGCCGCGGCCACTCCTACTACGTACCCCCGCCCGCAGATCGCGCACTCCCTCTGGACTTATTGGCGGTACGTGCAGCGCACTCCCTCTGGGGTTACGTAACCGCCCGAGTTACGTACTGCCACTGGCCAGTCACAGAGAATCACGGCAGTGACGTTGCTGCATCTCCTCATTGGTGGTTTAGAGTTTAGACCTTCACTGCAGGCATTCTAGTAATCAGGGCTATAGATGTCAGCAGCGTATGACATGTCCCTTTGAAGAGGGCGTATGACCGGGGCGGCCCAAAACGTCACCACCGGTCAGGTAGAAGTGGATATTGGGGCCCGGGGAACACCACCGCCACTTGGGCCTGTTGGCGACAAACGCGGAGGAAGCACAATGACAGTCGCCATGTGACGTCAGGAAGGACCGGTTCCCCGATGCCCCTTAGCTAGAAAGAACCGACACAAGAGTCTTCTTACCAGTTCGAGCAGCCGTGATTTGGAAGCGAACACAGAAGCTTCGATCGAGCGCCCCTTGTGATTGGCAAATCATCGCGTTTTGCCGCTCCTGTACACAAAGCGGAATCGCTTATTGGTAATTCCAGATGTGACTTGACTAAGGTGAGCTTCGGTTGGCTGCTTCGAGGGCAACTACTCGATATGTGACCGTCCCCCTGAACAGGTTCAGTAACTATAGCTTCTTAATGCGCGATTGATAGGGATCTGTCATGCAATGCATGTCATCGCGAGGGCTATAATCTCAGTCAACATTATATGAACATGCGTTAATTTGCGGTACAGCACTCGCAAAGCAAACCGAGACGTACCGACGGCCGGATATCGCGCATAGGGTACTAGCGACACACATACGGTTGAATGGCTGCGGCCCTTGCACTCAGATTGCAAGCACCCCGGGGTCGACTCAGCGGCTAACTCGCAGCCTGACATATATGGCACACTGATTGTGACTTCATGGGTCACATGTTCGTATATGCGGCATCGGCAACATTCTGTTCACACAAATTTGCGAGTTTTCTCTTTCAATCTGCAGCTTGTACAAATACATTCAAATCATTGAGAACCAATTGACATCTGTGACAACATAGGATCGAGATTGATTCAAGATCAGTGGCTATCCATCGGTCAGTCACCAGGGATATCACGTACTAAATCTTCGCCAGTCTGGCCTGAAAGCATTGCCCGCATGTGAGAAAATGACGCCAAGGCTGACTGGCAGAGTGACAAAGGATGCGACTGTGGACAGCGACGCCACAATCCGTGCTGCCACCAACCGCTCGACTTTTCTGGATTTTTGTCCTTAACAAAATTTTGAATTGCTCGGATCAGAATCTGTTGCCGTGACGAAGCACAACCGATCCCGACTTCTTATGACAGTCCCTGACGTACTCTATCTTCGCTCCGCACCATTCAACACCAGCGCCGTAAGCGAGTCCGTGCCCCCGTCGGTTATAGTACTCGTTTGGATTCCCGGGTACTTCCGGCCCGCTCCCCAGGTCGGTCGCATACTCGGCAAACCCGTAAACAGAGGCGGTCTTGATTGGATACTTGACCTCGGTAGCGAGCTGCACACAAACGAAAATTCAGGGTGCAGGTGAGCAATCACCACTCGCCTTATGTCACTGGTTGCCCAAAGGCGTTCTCTTCAAGGTGCTCGTCAGGTCAGGCAGCACGCAAGTCACGAAAAAGGCAAATATTGGGAAAGCGGAACCTTGCACGCGAGACATTCGCACCCCAATCACAAAAGCGAGTAAAAGCACGCTCTTAGCCATTGTTTCTATCGCCCCTCTCTGAGCAGAGCAGGACCAAACCACAGCAACAGAGAGTCGGATAAACATCATATTCTGCAGCGCAACACCTAGGCCCTCTCGAATGCTTGGCGATCGACCAGACAAACAAGCAAATAATACGAGAGGTTAAACAGTACAGACCGACCAAAAATAATATCCAAAACGAAAAGAGCGCCAGTGCTGCTGTCCTCAGCTCTCATAACACGTCCCTCATCCACCGCCGCCAGCACGCGCTGCATGCATCGCCGCCCCGCTCAGGAGGAGTAGCAGAGGCGATACATGCAGCGTTCACTAGCAGCGTGGTCACCCTCCCCGTGGGAAGAGAATGTCAGCGGTTTGGTTTACATCATCGGACAGCACGCACCGACGCAGGAATTTGAGCCTCTTCCTCGGTTAGTTGTTTTTCCATACCCTTTGCGGTTCGGTGAGTATTTCCGGAAAATTTCAGTAATTCGAAAGTTGAAGGTGTGAAAGAATCGGACCAACAGGCGGGGCAGAAGTGTCCGTTGTACGAAAGTCGTGTCCAAACACTCAATATAATCGACTCTAGCACATGACAGAAGACCAGACTATACATGAAAATCTTATTGGAATCTCAATCCGGAACACACCGTAACCCTTGGACACCTTTTTGATTAGGATAACAATGTCGGGTTTCGCATCAGCTTGAGAGCACAAGACGGCCAGCCCGCACAAGCTTTCGCTTGGCAAGCTGGCCAGTCTCCAAGCAAGACGCTCACCCTGTTGCTCGCGCACCAAACCTTCTTTTCTCGTGTCTTCCCTGCCACCCACTGCCAGAGATGGCAGGGGGCTAGCGGTGCTTCGGGTTAGGGTCATGTCAAGCTAACCGAGCGTCAACCCGGGTTATGGTCAACCCAAAGGAAAGCAAATTGGACGCAAATGGAGGCATGCGGATCTTCAAAGCTGATCCAAAGGAAGTTCGCGAAGCGTAGGGGAAACAAATGAGACGGATCGAAAAGGTGACGACAAGCAGTCAAACACAATCTGGCAGGTAGTGGCGGCCTTATGTAATAATGGAAGAGCTGTAGGGAACGAGGCCCATTTGTGAGCACGCAGCACTTGCAGGAATAACCTGCCACAGATTCGTAGCCCCCCGGTTCTTGTCGCCAGTTGCAAAGTTAATGCGCCACACAGATGCATTTCAAATCCAATTTCAAATTTACAGGTATACGGACCGCAAACAAGAGTGGAACAAGCACGGCAGTCAGCTTCGGAAGCTCAGAGCGCGGGAATCGGATCCAATCTGAAACAGCGGCTCGGGATCTGTCCAAGAGTGCTGAATAGCCCCCAACGAAGGGTGAGAGAAGAAAACCTAGAAACCGACAAAACACGCAGAAATCCAGAAAGCAACCCCTTACAATACGACACCGCCCAATTGCCTTATCCTCCAGGTATCTCCGGGCCACCCCAAGGTCCCCAGTCCCGCACGCGCACACCGTGTACGGCCCCCCAAGCGGGTGCGCGTCGTACGGCGCTAGTCATATTGGCACGACGCGCAGGAATTGTAAATCCAGATCCAAACCGTAACCCAAACAAGATCCAAAACCGAAACCCAGAGTCAAACCCAAACGAATCTACCACCTCACCTCCAGGTATCGCCGGGCTGCCCCAAGGTCCCCAATCCCATATGCGCGCACCGTGTACGGGCCCCCAAGCGGGTGCGCATCGTACGGCGCGAGATCCCCGATCGTGTCGCCCGCCTTTGCGTGCACGACGGCGCTCGGAGATGCCAGCGTGTCGAGTTTGGGAAGCTGACCGAGCTTGAAGTACTGCGTCGCAGAGGCCGTCCACCGGTTGAACATCGGGTGCTCAGTGCCGATCCACGTGCCTTGCTCCATCTGCGGGAAAAACGAGAAGATTTAGGGGAGCGGAGCGGAGTTGAGGGCTTCGTAGATTAGGAATTGGGAATACGTGGAAGTGAGAAGTGAATGCGGTTAATGACTCACGGTAAGAGTCGACTCGCGAACGAAAGCTCGGTACCGGTCCACGTGCCATGTTCAACGTGCAAAAGAAGTGGAAGCTTCAAAGGAGCGGAGCTGACTCAAGTGTTTTCTCCTGCCTTCGACGATGTGTGGACGTGTATGGTTGAAAAAAATAGAGTCAACAACTCTTCACCGTCGATGGACGCGTGCCCTTCGCCACTTCGTTTCTCATTGTCACGTTGGTTTACTCGGTCGAGCCGTGCTGTCGGATCCCAATCATCCCAACAGGTTCGACATCCGAGTTTCAAAAAGCCTCCCCGTAAGCAGTGCGCGCGTGCCATGCTCCACCTCCTCCCAAATTGTCACGTTGTTGTACTCGATTCAGCCCGAAAAAAGCAGCTGCTTGTCGGACCCCGCTATCCGACAATCTCTCATTTCTTATAGGTCGTTCACCTCTAGAACGTAACGTCAAACCGCCTCACCGTGAAGAGTGCGCGCGTGCCCTGCGCCACCTCCTTCTCCATCGTCACGTCGTTATACTCGATCGAGCTGTGTAAGAACAGCTGCTTGTCGGACCCCAATGGTCCCAAAAACTTTCGATATTATGAACCCCCAAAACAACTTACCGTGAATAGTGCGCGCGTTCCCTGCGCCACCTCCTTCTCCATCGTCACGTTGTTGTACTCGATCGAGCCGTGCAAGAACAGCTGCTTGTCGGACCCCGTGACGCCTAGGCTGGTGGGGGGGCCTTGATCGTCGAAGGTACCGTTGTTCAGAATCTTGGAGCCCTGCGCCGCAAACTGGTAGTCCTCCCCCCGAGAGTTGACCTCCTCGAGCGTCGCCCCGTAGTCGATCTGGATCTTCTTGGAGAAGAAGGGGAACTGCGAAGAGGAGGGGCTGGGATCAGTGAGGCCTTATTTGGGGGGGGGAGGAATGCCTCTTTCTGTCCAAACGGAAGATCAAAAGCAGCCGAACAGCCCTGACGACCCTATGTGTCTTACCCTTATGACAGAAGCTTTGGTCAAATCAGAGCCTGCGGATTACTTTCAGCACAGAGTTGCAGACAAAGCAGCCCGTCCTTCCTTAACGTCCGAAGCTTAGCATACTGCCAACTTCACAAGTGCTAACTCATGAAGAAAAGAGCCCAATATTACGACTGATAAGGGCATATTTCACCGGACAGCCTGCCCTTCAAAAACTTACCGCATCGAAATAGCGCATGCCTAGCCACAACAGTCATAACTTATGAGCGAGGACGTCATGCTCACCTCGGTCAGAGTGGCTCTAACGCCGGCTCTGTCGACCATGATGTGGGGGATCCCCTCCAAAGCGGGGCTGGGGGTGTGGATCGCGCTCTCCTTGCGCCCGTTGAAAGCGTCCACCTCTAGTTTGCGGTTCTTTTTATCGTTGGGGCCGAACACGTTCAGGTGCTTGTAGCTAAGGTTGAAGCCGATGTCCTCCTGTAAGACGACGGGGAGACATTGAGAAGTCGAGCTTTTAACGAAATTTGATGGATCAGTGCGGTCTCCGAAACCCAGTTAAAGTAACTCCGTCGAATTCCCGGATTCCTGCCTAGACTTGCCCAAGACGCAGCAACGTAAACGCTTGCATAATTGCCAGCTATGGATCAACCAAGCAAAAGCTTGGCGCCAGGCCCAAAAACGGGAAGTTACGAGTTTGCACCTTTCACGAGCGTCCCGCAAGACCTTTAGATAGAGGGAGTGACAGTAAGGGATCCAGAGGCTCTGAGCAATGGAGTCAGAAACAAGTAATCTGAAAGATCAGAAACAAGCATGAGAGCCAACAATATACTCTGCTGGAACAGGGGTAATCGAGGACGGAATAGATAGTAGAAGGACCCACCATGGGGCTGAAGAAGTTGGAGGTTCCGATGCTGGCGGAGAAGGACTTATTCCAGCCCCCAAAGTGCGAGTGCTGGTACATGATCGTGCCTCCGGGCTCCAGCGAGTACTGCACGGGGGAACGATGCATTACACAAGTGAGCAATAGATACGTTTCAAAGCGTCTTGGAAAAAAAACCCGGATCCGGAGGGGGGATGCCTAAGAAAAGGTAGCCTGCGTGTGCTGAGCTTCATCCGCAGCAAAGTTTCGAGACAGGAAGTCGGCATTCCCAAGCGGAATGCAGTCAAGGGAAACCAGACAAGCCGCACTGTGCCCTTCATTTCGGAGTACGCTGTAATCTTATCCACAGCTAACAACCGCCCAGACAGTACTCTCTTCACTTACAAGAGAAACGAACACAGGTCCCAATCCAAAGACCCTTCAGAACCAAACATGGCGCTTCTCCGCGCCTCACCAGCGTGGGCCGCCCGGCCTCGTTGGGAATAAACTGCCAGTCTAGTTCCCCGTCCACCGCCTTCTGCTGGGCCAGTTCACACTGCACGTCGAGGTTGAGCCACTTGGAGCCCTCTCCTTTCGAGCGCATGGGCTTCATCCCGATGCCGACGCGTGAGAATGCGCCCATTGCCAAAATACCCTCTTGCAGCGGCCCCAGCGCATCCCACGACTTCATGACGTCACCCGCCTGGAACTGCAGATCGTAAGCAGACGTGTCAGTGTCGAATCTAGCGCTTCTAAGGATTGTGGTTTGGTGTTGGCGCCCTGTGTTAGCTGTTTCCGCCGGGTCTCTCTTTTCGCAACCTACTCGGGGTCAGCTTTATCGTTGAGATCTGGTGGCTCGGGAATGACCCGCTCGGTGTCGTTGCGACGTTGCAAAAAGAGGTCTTCACTCGACACTTGCTCGTCGACGGTGCATGACGATTGATTGGCGCCGTACGACGTAAGAGGATTGTCGCCAGGCACCTCTACTCAATCGCCTCGCAGGGAAACGATTCACGTGAGAGAATTGTGAATTGTAATCCTCGATTTATATAAGCAAGAAAAATGAAACCGATGCGAGCAAACAGTCGACAGGTGGTAGTCTCAATCAGAAAGCTCGACGAAGAAAAAGCTCGACGAAGAAACTTACTCCGATCGGCATGCACTTGGCAATGTCCTCGTTGTAGGTGATCTTGCCATTCTCGTCCGTAAACTGGAACGTGATGTTGCCAATCCGGTTCTCGAAGAACTTCATTTGCAGGATGTTTCCGTCCACGAAGTTCATCTGGTATAGCCCCGCCTCCAGCCCCGCCGACTTGAACGACGCCTTCAGCCGGTCCTTGAACATGGCCAGCGTGCGCGCGTTCAACGGAACCTCCTCCTGCGACAAAGGTTTTAGAATGTAAGAGTTAGTTACACAGTGTACTCGTTTCATTCGCCTTTGGACGGAAACTTTTGGAAGGAGATGCAAAGTTTTGCCGCCTTGCACGATGGCCTTGAACCGTTTTCTTGCATGCGCAAGTTCAGCAAGGTCTCTTTCTGCGGCACGAAGTTTGTATCTACAAGGTCAGGGTCAGGGTCCGTTTGAATCTGCTTCTGATAAAGGCTGAGACTACAACCAAGGCGTCTTAAGCCGGTCCTTGAACATGGAAAAAATGGCAAGCGTGCGCGCATTCGACGCAGCACGGGGTTAAGAAAGGAATGGTCAATCACAGGGTTGGGGTCAGGTTGATTCCCTTCTGGACGGGGTTCAGGGATTTGAGGAACGAGGATACAAAACCGCAGGGTCTTTAAATGCGTACATCATTGTCGAGTCTTCGATGCTGAACACAACTTTCTGGAGAGTGTTGATGTTAGAGGGCCTAAGGGTTCGACAAACAAGGCCCATATCTGGTCTGAAAAGAGGCTCGCTTCGTCTCTTCCCATCACAGGTAGACAGACCAAGTCAAACGGACAAAGAAATAGAGAGCGAACACACGCACCTGCAAGTCCTTCAGCATCTCGCGCTTCATTTCCTCAGTGATCAGGGTCGTCCCCACCACGCGCAGCCCCCGGATGGGCGGCAGCTCCGGCTCCCGCCAGTTGAAAATCAGCCGCACCTCGTTGTCCTTCAAGTTAGGGTCCCGGTTGCTGCGCTCGTAGCTGAGAGTGATCCCCTCAAGGTACTCCCCGAACATGCCGAGGAAATCTGACGTCAGCTTGTCCTGCAGGTCGGGCGTGAGCTTCTCCCCGACGTACGTCTTGCGCAGCTGGTCGACGCCGAACGGCTCGCCGGGGACCTGGAACGGGGAGCGCCAGGTGGCGGGCCACGAGCGCTTCTTGTTGATGTCGTCGAATGCGGCAATGTCCTGGAAAAGGCGATGGGTCGGGTGTCAGAACGGTTGAAGAACATTCTAAGAAGGTGCATGACTCTAGTTGACTCATGCGACTCCAGATACGGAATGCTGAACCACTTCATATCTAGCACTTGGTCCTGGTCGGCTTTTTCTGTAATGGAAAGGCTTCAACGATGGGGAGGCCACACATCGTCAATGCAGCCAAGGTGTCGATAATGACAATATCATACAGAGGAAGACAATCTGCCAGAACTCAAACCGTCAGAAGCGCCTTGAAATTGAGAAAGGCGCTGGAGCGAACTCCTATGTCCGTAAGCTCGCTTCTCAATAAAAAAACCCCAAGAAATGGTGTCTCTGCGTTTGGTCGTTCTCTCAAAGAGAAGCTCCAACTTGAAGCTCCTTGTATTCACGGATCTCCCAAGCCAGGTTTGAAACATTGAAGCCGCAAATTGCAAAAGCCCCACTTCTTTACACGTGTCTCCATACATTTCAATTGCAGACGACCTCACGGCATCAGCTAGATGTTTTAGTTGGGCAGAAACATCAAGCGTGAGGCTGACACTTCCTCAGAGAGACAGTTCCTGGAAATTCCTCATGAATCACAATTATCAACTGGAGAGTTGCCCAAACGCACCGCCAGGACGTCCTCTCCCTCATCTTCGTCTTCCTCCTCCTCTCCTCCCAGCGGCACCACCGCGCCCTTTTCTTCCACCTCTACTTCCTCCTCCTCCTCCTCCTCTTCCTCTTCTTCCTCTTCCTCCTCCTCAGCAGTTGCTGCTCGCGCATGTCCCTTGTCCCAATGAAAACCATCTCCGCCACCCCCGCCCTCACCCTCTCCACTTCCATTTCCATTTCCCGAGCCAGAACACCCGCCGCTGCTAACCAAGACTGGGGTCGCTAACCCCCCCACTAACCCTAGAAACGCCAGCGCTGGTTTGCGGGGGATTCTCTGCAGCGACCGGAGCGTTTGGCGCCTGAGCTGGCCCCATCTGCTAGGAGTTTGCTCGGCGCTGCTTGCTTGTTCCAGCTTCTCGACGTCGGCATCGCCGCTTTGTGACCGCAGTGGCAAGGACGCGTTTAGTCGTTGGACGGGGTACAGTCGTCGTTGAGGAGAGGGGTGCGTACTTTGAGGACGAGAGCAGGCGAAAGCATAGGCGGACGAGCCACTGCACGATGGATCCAGACTCATCAACCATTGGGGGGGAAGAAGCTGGGAGTTGACCAAGAATATTTGGTGTACGGAAAGTTCTCCTTCTTAAGCGCGCCACTTTGACATCAGCACTTTCAAATGCAGTGGGATGAATATTGAGCAGACCTTCAAATACTGCTGAGGTAGGAAAACACTCACCAAAACACGCTCCCCACTATAACCCATCTGAGATAGAAACCATCTCTTGGCAGGGGCCCCTCAAAAAACCAAAAGAATTGTCCGCATGCAATGGCCACCATTCCCCAAACAAACATAGATGTCCCGATGATCTTCCAAAATGCTTTCCTCCTCAACCCAGGATGAAGGAAGGTATATTGCGCTAGTTGCAATGCTTAGCAAACAAGTTGCAGAGTAGAGTCAAGTGCGAACAAATATGTTCACAACCGATCCCCTTTCTCACAACTGTGAGAATCTGAAGTAGGCAGGACAACTGCCTTTCAAGAGCACTTTACCGCGCACCAGGCTGAGTACGAGGAGCCAGGGTATGCATCCCGCATTCTCTGGAAAAAAAGTTGAAGCCTTCAATACCAACTCAGCGCTCGAACGTTCTTTGACCAGAATGCAATGTTAGCCACACTAGCCACCATGAAGCACAGCGATAGGTACCAACTACATTACCTGAAGTAAGGTGCCTTCTACAAAGCACCAAAGCGTAGTATTTGCTGACTGATCCGTAGTATTTGCGGGCTGATCGGAGACAAATGTCACATACATGAAGGGCACCAATCCAATCTGTTTGTCGCCTCATTGCTGCCATGTAAAGACTAGCGGCTGATGAAGTGGTGGTAGTTCCAAGAAACTCATCAACACTCCAACCGCACTTATTATCCCTAACAATCAAAGGCAGACAGAATGATGCTGAACGAGTCCGCTGATGAGATGGCCACTGAACATAAAAATGTCTGTTTCAACCGAGCATGTACGATTTGGCTCTGCATGGATATCAACCAGAAAACAGGAAAGACCATTGCAATTGACCTTATTGACCTTTGTAAGTTCACTAAATGCACAGCAGACAATCCTGGTAATGGTTTGAGAATTGCAATGCTGCCGTCTGTGCAAGAGGAGAAGCACAAATGACGACTTACCTGCCGGAGAAGTCGCACAGGGAAGCGCCTGCAAAAGCCGGCTGCTGCAGAATGTGTGTCGCCACCGCGCGCACTGAGGTAGCCGCATTCATGATTCAAGCGGATGGTATAGGGACCCAACGTCCCGCCTAAGTCCTCACTAACATTTCTATGGCCGCTGCGTCTGCTTGTGCTCTTGCGAAGCGCACGCGCAGCGCTTGTTTGTCCCTTGATTGTCTGCTAGCATCCCTGATCCGCGGCGCTCATGAATGGTACCACAGGATTGATCTCTGTCCCCATCCAAGGTGCTTCATGCAACCAATTGATGCAATCCTCCAAAAATATTTTCCAGGGCCCAGGGGGCTTTTGTGAGCTGTTTCAACGTTCTCATGCAGCAACCCAGACTCACGGCCCGTTTTGAGAAAACCTCTCAAAACACCAATTTGAAAGTTTGAGTAAATCTCTCAAAATACGGCGATCGATTTTGGACAAATCGTTCGTATCCGGTCGGGTCATTTTGGAGAAAATGCTCAAAACTGCGTCGGGCGATACGAACAAATTGTTCAAATTTGCGACCTGGTCCGTCCGGGTCTGCCGTCGCGACGTGCGGGTAGCTTTCGGGAAATCTCCACCGTCGATGCAGGTGGACCATCGCGGCCCACAACATCGATCGCGAAGACCGCCGGGATTGCGGTACATAAAGGACGGTACCCTTATGGGTGGTTGGTCGGGGCGGCGGGCGGCCGCAACTTCCCGGGGACAACGGACACTTCCCTCTAGAGTAGTAGTTTAGGGACCGTGGCACCCGAGAAGCAACCGGGCCCTGCCTGTGAAATTAGGGTCTCGCGGGCAACCCTGGGACAACCGGGCCTTCCCGCTTTAGGGTTACACCACTGCGAGTGACAACCGAGCAAGTCCTTTTGGTTTTAGTGTGTGCCCGGGGCCTCCACAAATTCGAACCTTTTCTTCGAATGGCGCAGCTAGAATACGAGCGATTTGATCAAAACTCGACCGGCTATTTCGAGCAATTTGTTCAAAAACCGGCCGGCACTTTCGAGCATTTTGTCCAAACCGACACGGCTGGTGTTTTGAGAGGTTTTCTCGAAACGGGCGTGAGACTGGGTTTCCTTCAAGTTCCAGGGCCTTTGGTCTCTCAGAAGTGAGACATGGTTTCCTTCAAGTTCCAGGGCCTTTGGTCTCTCAGAAGTTGGAACAATCTCCTGTCCCAATTT